TACTGTAATGCAGTCAAATTTCATTACTATATTTCGGCCTATTCCGGATATAAATTTCAATTTTTATTTTATTTTAACTTCATGGATAGACCCTGTATATCAAATTTTGTTTAATTTAAATTCGCGTATTATACCTGAGTAACGATAGCGCGCGGGATCCGCGCACACTGAGTGGGGAGCCAGCCTGCTTGGGCATAGAGACTCGGATTCAGCATTCAGTATTAAAAGCATTCACTTTACCGATCTCGACTAGCTTGATTTCATTTTTCCGACCTCGTTAAGTCTGCTTCGTTATACGCCGTAATATCATTGCCGAGACCGTAGTTAGGTACACCGAATTCATGTTTACGTTTTTTTTCTGTCGTCGGTTCTTGAGCTAAACGTTCGAATACCAGTTTTATTTGATTAAATTATCCCGTTTTCGATTTTATTTAATAGAAATAATAATTGACTTTAGATTTTCGTTAAAAATATTTTGATTTTCAGATAAATTATTAAGTTTTGATTTGATTTAGAAACATTGGAAATTAGTTTTGGTTATTAGGAAGTAGACATTTTGTTTCTATTTTATTAATTACTTAATTTTCATTGCGACCGTGGATGTTGTTTCTATTTTTAAGTAATAATAAATTTAAATTTAATATTAAATTCCGTATATATTTAATTACTTAACTTTAACTACGACCATAAATTTTGTTTCTATTTATTCACAATCTGGTTTAACTTTTTTTTTCCATTTATGTTTCTTTACTTGGGAATAGAATTAGTTCGAAAGTTGGAAAGTTGAAATAGTATCATTTTTCATGTTGAGGGGACTGGTTTTGGCGAGAAAGCTCACATGGGATTAGATATTATCCCGGTTTTAGATTTTTTTTAGATTAACCCCTAGCCGTGATTAACATATTAGTGTTTTTCTTATGTTTGAGCGGGCTGGTTTTTGCGAGTACACTCATCATAGGATTAAATACTAACCCGGTTTTTGATTATTTTTTTTAGTTACCTCCGCGCCGTGATTAAAATGATAGTATCATTTTTATGTTGAGCGGGCTGGTTCTGACGAGTGCACTTTTCATAGGATTGATACTATCCCGTTTTCTTATCATTTATCTATTCCCTATTCACTAACACAAGGAGGTTTGTTTCAGTTTCAATACCGACTAGATAGTTAACCAGATAACTTTTTCTACCACCGTGATTTTATTTCTGCTTTTACGAAACAAAATATTTAGGTTCAATCTTTTTGCCGATTTAACAGTTAACTAGCTAACTTTTGCTACGACCGCAATTATTTGCCATTTTTCTTTCTTTAACTGAAATAGTAATTTTGTTTTTGGTTTCGTTTTGGCTCAACCACCGAAACGACAATTTATTAATAAGTTACTATTGCCACCGAGCATCTTTCTTTTAATTTTAATTATACCGTCTGATTGAGACTTATCAAAGTTCACTACTGGCCGATCTGTTTGTTTTTCTTTTGTTTAGGGTTTTAAAAATACGAGCGAGGGTGGGCGTTGAAATATTACTTGCAAATTATGTATTGTAAATAGTTAAATTCAATATATGTGTCAACGTTACCTTGATTATTACTGAGGTTACTGATCCCTAATTTACTTCCCCCTTTATTTCAGCAGTGATAAATTCTTTATCACCACAAGTAACGATTAAAGCCCGTTACTTGTGGTTACTTATTACCTGTGTCTGAGTGACCAACGACCCCTGGAATTTTTCATCTCCATCTGTGCTGCCCGAGTACTTTCGACGCCGTTTCGAAAGTTTGTGGAGTAAACCACATATAAAATCTGGCGCCCGAGAACCGTCCCGTCAACAGGCGTCATTTGTAAGTAATCGTTTTTTCTGAGGCGAGAAAACCCCTTATAGTAATATATACCTACTCCTGAACCTTCATGGGTTTTGGAGCCGTCTGTATACTAGGTGAAATCTGATTGAATAGGAGGTCTTTCCGTCTACGCTTCCCTGTCTGCTATACTTACTTTATATTGCTTTTGAAAGCTATACTTTGGGAGCATTTCGTCTGAAGGCATTCCCATTATTTGGTCGTTCTCCAACTCTTTATATAGCTCGCTATAGTCCCGTCCATGCAAACTGCTTATGGGTGATGAACCTATGTGCAGTCTGTATGTGACAGACCTGGCTTCGCCTTGAATGAATATATGTAATGGTGTTAGGTTTAGCATGATTTCTATAGCTGATGTTGGAGTTGTTCTCATAGCTCCCGTGGTACTCAGGCATGCTTGCCTTTGGATACCATTGAGCTGTCGAATGGCACCATACTACCGACCTGTAGGTTATCATCGACCTTATGACTCTGGTATATATTCATAGGGACATTTTTTGAAGGATGTTGTGCTCTGTTGGCTTACTTTTTGCAAGTGTTGATTTCATGTTCACCTATGGTCAAAGATGACTCCCAAGTATTTGGCCTCTTGAGCAAATGGAATCTTCACTCCTTTCAGTACTGGTTGCTTTAGTCCTGTTGGTACTTTTCGTTTTGAAATAGTGCTAGTGAATCAAAGACCAACGGGAAGAACAAAGTAAGTAATCTTAAAACGGAAATAATAAAAGAAAGCCTACCTTGATATAGAGTACTGTTGCTAATGCAAAAGAAAAAGATTACGATTCGGGTTTGCTTTCACGTGTCACTACAATAAACGGTGGTTCTACTAGCAGCGTCATAGGACAGGAACTTAGAGAGACTCGACGGAAGACGGGAGCTGTGAGCGAGAAATTTGTTGCGCCCTTCGTATTTGTGCCTTCCAAGCAGACGTACTCGGTGTCTGTGCAATTTCGAAGTGGGGAAACTACATACAGTTACCTATTTACAAATAGAAAAATAAAAATAACATCCTTTCGACCCTGGCCGAATAGAACTAGATAATTTACAAGAAATTGACTGTTCAAGAGGGCTCTCGCAAATGTTCAAAACCGGAAATTTCTAGGAAAATAAAATACGAGGGCTCTTTGAAACATTCCCAGGTGGAAGTTAATTAAAATATACATTTTTACATTTAATTAAAATTAAAATTTAGTGATTTCGTGACAGGATATGAAAAGTTACGATTTTCGGGCGACTACGAGAAGTTTACCAGGCAAAAAGTAGTCGACTCTTAGGAACCTGAAGGAACAATTTTCGTCCGTGTTTCATGCATTATTTTTTATTCTAATGTGCTTGTATAAAAAATTAAGTCTGATGTGATGTTATTTCCAATTTTTGTTATAAACTGAGATGGCTTTGATCTATAAGAATAGGTAGGTTAACACTGATATGTCAAATGCAATCAGAAAGAATGTTTAGAAATCGGAACTGCATGACATTGTCGACCTGGGCCGTTAAAGTGTTCTGCAGAAGTCCATTGAAATATATATAGAAAATGTATGTTTTCTGTCCAAAAATGTTTTTTGACACATTCGAATAAAATCTACTAGTATGATACATTTTGCGTGGTTGCTTCACTTGATAATTCTAATTTCATCGTACAATCCTTAGAATCGAGGTGTCAACTTGACTCTGTTTATACGGATTTTTCAAAAGCATTTGACAGGGTCAACCATTACATAATTATTGCTAGACTAAGAGAATATGGGTTTGGTGATATTATATTAAATTGGATTGATAATTATTTGCGTAACAGGATTCAATACGTTAAATATGGCAACTGCAAATCGGAGGCAATTACAATATCTTCAGGTGTACCGCAGGGATCTCATTTGGGTCCGCTGTTATTCAATTTATTTATTAATAATCTTTCTGGTGTCATCTCTAACGGTAAATATCTCATGTTTGCTGATTATGTGAAAATATTTAGATCAGTTTCTAATGAAACAAATGCTTTTTTACTACAAGTGGATTTAAATAGATTGTCCCGTTGGTGTGATGTAAATGTGTACTTAAATTTTAAAAAATGTCATCAGTTCACCTCTTCAGTTCACTATTCATACATAATTAATAATTGTGTGCTACAAACTAACGACAATGTTCTCGATTTGGGTGTTATTATGGACAGTAAGCTTTATTTTACTTTAACACTCACATTAGTCAAATAACCTCTAAGGCTTTTAAAATGTTAGGATTTATTCAGAGGAACAGTAGACAATTTTCTATTAATACATTTAAACTGCTGTACCCGACTTTGGTCAGGCTAACTTAGAATACTGCTGCTCTGTTTGGTCTCCCAATTATTTTATTTACATTAATCACATTGAGAAAGTACAACGAAAATTTTTGCGGATTTGTGCTTTTAAAATAGGCATAAATGGAATAGATATTAATTATGAAAATATTCTTCTCCAATTAAACATGCAAACATTGGAGCACAGGAGAATAGAATTCGACTTATGTTTTTAATAAATAATTTTAAATAGTACTATATCCAATTCCGAACTCTTGAACTTGATACTTTTCAATGTAAATGAAAGATGTGCGCGAAATGTTGAACTATTTCGTATACCTTTTCACCACACTAACTACGGACAAAATGAGACAATATCCAGAATTTTACGATTAGCTAATAAACATCAAAATATTAACATTGTCCATAATTATCTTCCTGCTTTTAAAAGAGCTATAAAAAGCTTACATGTTAATGTGTAATTATTGAATATTTTTTTTTATTTTGTTTATATTTTCTATTTTATTTTCTTTTTATTTATATTTTTTTACTTATTAGTTTATAACTAGCTGTAATGTCAGTCATTTTACATTTGTTATGGATCTTTATATACTAATCTGTAAAATGGGTTTTGACCTGTAAATAAATAAATAAATATTTCCCACTCACAAAATAAAATGCCATTTTTAACAATTGTACCATAAATAGTTATAATAACCTTGAACTTGAAAGTGTTGAAAAGCAATTCAAAAAAGGGACGAGCAATATTTAATTCACATTCCGTTTTCTGCTCTTGTACGACAAAAAAGGATCTCATACTTTCTACGTACTTTTTTCAACTGTATTATTATACATCCTCGAAAATTGTTTCAGCGTCTGCAGTTGAAGGGCGATCGTTGTGCAACCACAGGAGGGCCTATAAGTTTTTCATAGATTCAGTCTCGCCTCGATGCCATTTTCCAGCGTTTCCCTGTGATTCCTATGAGAATTTCCTCGATGGAAAGTGTTTTCCTTGCACGGACGAACGGTAAATATAAAATTATTATTTTTTTCTACACCCGTATTATAATAATGCACTTATATGCCCATAATCCGTTTCATAATGATACCCATTATGATACAGATTTTTCATTATGATACAGATTTTTAATCAATAGAAACCTACAATTTTTCAATCAAGCATGATGTTTGACGTTTGTCCTAAATTCCTATGTAATTGTTTTAGTTGTCAAAACGTATTAAATTTTCGTAGATAGCTAAACTTCGATAATTATAATATTAAAATGTCTGATATCAGCGATATAGAACACTCCTCCACACATATAGGAGAAAGGAGAAAATGCAGTACAAAATATTTTGCCCCAAAAATCTGTGGTAATACCAGTACCCAAGGTAATACCATTAATTACAATTTTGTAGAATTTTTTATAGAAATACGAGTAATTACTGTTATTGTGTTCAATACCAATATAAATAGAATATTTATAGGTCTTGATTATTTATCGGGTGTAGAAAAAATAGCGTATGCAACTCTCATGTAATGGTTATTAAAACACTCGCATAAACCATACGAAACTCGCCTTTGGCTCGTTTCGTATCCCGGTTAATGCTCGTTTATTAATAACCATCATTACATGATCGTTGCATAATATACTATTTTTTCATATTCTAATATTTTTAAATATCAACATATAAAAATCAAATTTGTACGTTTTTGTGTGATAGTTTAAATGAAAGGCAGGTAGAAAATTATTTCTGTATTGACTATGATGATTTTTAATTTTTTTAGGATGATGGGTAGCGACTACTTAAATTTTATAGTTCATTATTGTTCATATATTTAATATACCTACATAGAGTGGAAGAAAAGTTCGAAAACGTCGACAAAAATTGGTTGTCAGAAATCTACAAAATTTGGGAAAAGAGAAATTTCAATTTTTTTGCACTGTTTTCACATCCACCATTATTCCGATAATAATAGTCACTTTGGTTTTTCAAATGCAACACCCTCTATATTATTTCATTTTTTAGTTCAACGATATATGTCACATTTGAGAATTAACCTTTTTTTATATTTTATGTTGCATTTAAGAAAAAACGGTCAATCTAGCAAAAGTGTAAAGAACAAAATAGTTATCGCCATTTTCTTTAACTCCCAACTCTCAAAATTTATAGATTGCGGAAAACCAGTTTTTAAGAAAATTATGGGTTTCCAGACTTTTCTTTCACTCTGTATATACGGATGAAGTTCACATGCGAAAAATTTGATATTTTTTATTTTACGAAGAAAAGTAATGTTTTATAAAAAATTCTACTTGTCGAGAAAATAAGATTATCGTATCAAAATTTAATAAATTAATAAAATGTGAAAAAGTTTTAAAAAGTAGTTATTATTTAATGCAAAAAATACAATAAAACTTTGCTTGTATTCAAAATAAAAGCTAAATACAAATTTTCAAAGAAAAAAAAAATCCTAGTGTATTTGTGTTATTATTTGCAGCATTTAATAAACTATCAAGATAGTAAACGTTTTTTAATTTGAAAATTGCTATTTAGGCTTTATTTTGAATTAAAAACAAATTTTTTTTGTAAAAATTTTGCACAAAATAATAAATAATATCATTATTAGAAAATGTTTGAATTTATAATATAATGTGTAGCTCGTTTCAATTGCATCTTAGATGACTGTCTCCAGCTTCAATTTCAAAGCGAAGAAGCTACATATGGTTTTCATTGCTTATATTATCTTCACCTAAAAGAGGCTTCAACAAATTTCTATTTATGTCAATTTGTTGTCACCTGAACTCTGTCGGAGAATTGCTATATTTACGTAAAAAAATGGATGGCCCTTAAAACAGCGTTATAATGATATTTGTTTGAATTGTGTATTTATTTCAAATAGATTACCCCGTCATTGTCAAGTAAATTGTTGCCTATTACTTTTTTTTAATGCGGAGGGAAAATCCATTATGGACAAAATTTGCTCTACTTTGTCACAATATAGTAGTGTGTGACTCCCGGTGCGTTTGGTGCAAGCCCAGTTTATCCACTAAAACTTTCCTCTACTCCTTTCTGTCGCGGTGCAAGGCGGTCTATGCTATGCTATTGTTGTTGATGTTCTCTTTTTTCTTTTCCCCTTATCTCCATAATGCTCTTTGCAAGCAGCCTGACCGCTCCCCAATTTTTTTTCTTACTTATTATTAGGGCTCCTATGTTTTCTACAATCTCTCACATTTCTACTCTTATCTCGTATCTGCATCTGTAACGTGTGGAGGGTGGGTCACCCCACGGTACTTAGGCCTCATTAGGCCCATTGTGCATCCTCCTGAGAAGATAGGCACCTCCTAGCTCCTACAGATTTAATGTAGTTGACAACGTCGCCAAGAGGTGCTTCTCTTATATCGGCCGATGTTAGCCGATACTCGCCGAACACAAATCTTCTAATAAATGAGAGCGTCGAGCAATCGTAAAAGGATATGCTCGATGGTCTCATCTTCTTGTTCGCACCCTCTGCAGAGTACGGATTCTGACAGCCCCATGATATGGAGATGCTTTCGTACTTGGCAATGACCAGTCAGAATGCCTGTGACTAGGCGCAGATTCTGTCATAGTCAAGTATTTGTTTGCTGCAGTGTTGTCAGGATAACTTAAGAGTTCCCTGGCAACTCTACAGTTTCTTGTTTCATCCCATCTTTCCTTGAATTTCACAAGGGAATGTTCTTTAATTAGGTCTGTCACTGCCGATTTTGTCAGGCCAATAGAAGGGCCAAGTCCAAAAAGTATTTGGGAGGCTGCTTTCTTGGCTAGTGAATCAGCAAGATGGTTACCTTTCGATGTGGCGTGACTTTTAATCTATCTTAAGGTGACCACGTTGTTGATGAATACTTCGGCCAAAGCTTCGTGACATTCTAGTTCTAACCCTGAATAAATTCGTGGTCTGTTCAGGGTAAGTAGTGCTTGTCTGCTATCTGTATAGATGAGCATGTTCCTTCCAGTAATATTGTTTCTGGTTATTTCTTTTGCTGCTATGAGAATCCCCGTTAGCTCTGTTTGAACTACATTGACACTATTGCTCACAGCCCATTTTATGTTAAGGTTTAAGAATCTGGAGTATATTCCACATCCTGAGCCTTGTTTTGTTTTAGAACCGTCGTTGTAGATATGAATCGTACCTGCCACTTCCAGCTCTTCTATTTGTTCTATTATAACTTTAGATGGCTTATAAAAGATATATTTCGTTGAGATGGAGTCCATGTTCGCTTAAAGCAGTGGGAGCGTATCCAGAGCCTCCTGCCAAAAGTGACGTCTCGCCTCACCAGATCCTACATCAGGTTCTATTCCGGCCGTGCGGAGGCATGTCATTGTCGTCAAAGCAACCTCCTTGATGTAAATATCAAGGGGCGTGAGACTAAGAATGACTTCCATGGCTCTAGTCGGTGTCGTTTTCATGACTCCTGTCTTCTTATCTCGTGTCCCGTGCGTTTAAATTATTCACATTAGAAAAAATTGGTGAGTCTTTTTCCCCACAGTATATACAGTTTTCATTTATTTCTTTTCCAATCTTATTGATCTAAACGATCCATGTCCTGTCAGCACCTGTGCCATTCACTAGTCACTGCATTCCATCCACTTGATGATGCACGGGATTAATTATTTCGTCTGCTCTTTTTCATCCCACTCTTATTGTCAGGTTCTTAGTGTGGTCACTCCGGTTTCTGTTTTTGCTTCTTCTAGTCGTTCTTCGTTTTCCATTTGGTGTAGGTATCTTCGTTCTTCTACCAATATGTGGATTGCCTCTATTCCAAAAATAACATGCACTGCTCTGAGCCCTTAAGGCTAGTTTTCTTTGGGCTTTTCCATTTTACCCCGTGTAGGAAGATCGAGTGGACCAGTTCACTCAGTAGTATCCTTTTCTGGCTTTCTGGACTCCTAAATTTCTCATTAGCTCTCCTTCTTGTTTATCCTGAAGATGTGATTTCCAAAGCTTTCTATGTCATCTAATATGCCTAAGTTACTGACTGCCTTAGATGGCCTAATTTCCATCCCTCTTAGCGTGAACCTACGCGATTCCCTCTGCTGCTTCTTTCAGGTTTTGCGGAGTACGACCACCTCTGTCTTTTCGGGGGCCAGCTCTAATTAGTATATGTACATCCACCTATTTATCCTTCTTAGAGATTCGTTCGACCTGTGCTCCAGTTTATTACTATCTCTAGGTCTTACTAGAATAGCTAGATCGTCCGCAAAACGTAATGATTTTGCACCTTACGTCAATTCCTCGTTTAACACCACGTCGTACAGAATATTCTACAGGGTTTGCCCCATACCCGATCCTCCCCTTACCTCCACCTTTGTCCAATGCCGAACTAAACGAATACAACAAAGAATGTAAATTTAACAAAAATGCATATATGTTGGTGTCTATTAGGGATTCAAAAATGCATAAAGTACTACAAGAGGTTACAAAGCAGATATCCCTACGGAACTGGCTGACCGTTTGGCGGAGGAAAAGCGTATGGAGCAGGTGCGTCGCAAGGAACGTAACGAAGCCCACCTCTACATCATATTAATTTTTTAAATAATTTCTTAAATAATTTCTTAAATAATTTCTTAAATAATTTCTTAAATAATTTCTTAAATAATTTCTTAAATAATTTCTTAAATAATTTCTTAAATAATTTCTTAAATAATTTCTTAAATAATTTCTTAAATAATTTCTTAAATAATTTCTTAAATAATTTCTTAAATAATTTCTTAAATAATTTCTTAAATAATTTCTTAAATAATTTCTTAAATAATTTCTTAAATAATTTCTTAAATAATTTCTTAAATAATTTCTTAAATAATTTCTTAAATAATTTCTTAAATAATTTCTTAAATAATTTCTTAAATAATTTCCTAAATAATTTCCTAAATAATTTCTTAAATAATTTCTTAAATAATTTCTTAAATAATTTCTTAAATAATTTCTTAAATAATTTCTTAAATAATTTCTTAAATAATTTCTTAAATAATTTCTTAAATAATTTCTTAAATAATTTTTTAAATAATTTCCTAAATAATTTCCTAAATAATTTCCTAAATAATTTCTTAAATAATTTCTTAAATAATTTCTTAAATAATTTTTAAAATAATTTCTTAAATAATTTCTTAAATAATTTCTTAAATAATTTCTTAAATAATTTCTTAAATAATTTCTTAAATAATTTCTTAAATAATTTCTTAAATAATTTCTTAAATAATTTCTTAAATAATGTCTTAAATAATTTCTTAAATAATTTCTTAAATAATTTCTTAAATAATTTCTTAAATAATTTCTTAAATAATTTCTTAAATAATTTCTTAAATAATTTCTTAAATAATTTCTTAAATAATTTCTTAAATAATTTCTTAAATAATTTCTTAAATAATTTCTTAAATAATTTCTTAAATAATTTCTTAAATAATTTCTTAAATAATTTCTTAAATAATTTCTTAAATAATTTCTTAAATAATTTCTTAAATAATTTCTTAAATAATTTCTTAAATAATTTCTTAAATAATTTCTTAAATAATTTCTTAAATAATTTCTTAAATAATTTCTTAAATAATTTCTTAAATAATTTCTTAAATAATTTCTTAAATAATTTCTTAAATAATTTCTTAAATAATTTCTTAAATAATTTCTTAAATAATTTCTTAAATAATTTCTTAAATAATTTCTTAAATAATTTCTTAAATAATTTCTTAAATAATTTCTTAAATAATTTCTTAAATAATTTCTTAAATAATTTCTTAAATAATTTCTTAAATAATTTCTTAAATAATTTCTTAAATAATTTCTTAAATAATTTCTTAAATAATTTCTTAAATAATTTCTTAAATAATTTCTTAAATAATTTCTTAAATAATTTCTTAAATAATTTCTTAAATAATTTCCTAATTAATTTCTTAAATAATTTCTTAAATAATTTCTTAAATAATTTCTTAAATAATTTCTTAAATAATTTCTTAAATAATTTCTTAAATAATTTCTTAAATAATTTCTTAAATAATTTCTTAAATAATTTCTTAAATAATTTCTTAAATAATTTCTTAAATAATTTCTTAAATAATTTCTTAAATAATTTCTTAAATAATTTCTTAAATAATTTCTTAAATAATTTCTTAAATAATTTCTTAAATAATTTCTTAAATAATTTCTTAAATAATTTCTTAAATAATTTCTTAAATAATTTCTTAAATAATTTCTTAAATAATTTCTTAAATAATTTCTTAAATAATTTCTTAAATAATTTCTTAAATAATTTCTTAAATAATTTCTTAAATAATTTCTTAAATAATTTCTTAAATAATTTCTTAAATAATTTCTTAAATAATTTCTTAAATAATTTCTTAAATAATTTCTTAAATAATTTCTTAAATAGTTTCTTAAATTTTTGTTAAATTTATATTCTTTATTGTATTCGTTTAGTTCGGAATGGGCAGAGGGGAGAGGTGAGGGAAGGGAACGTCTCCTTCGTATGACCGCCACTGGCTACACGTACCCAAAGCATAAAGACAGACAAAATTGCTCTTTTACCTTTAGCGAACACGTTTTCTTAATATAAAATCGTCAAACATTTCATACGAAAAGATGAAGACACTAAGGCCCTTTCATGACAGTGCTTGGCTTTATGGGTCGCCCCGGAAAGGTAAAAATTGTTTTCGCTGCGATATTTATGCATCACGCGGAGCTGGGTTTCACTCGCGAGGGGGCCAGCAAATTGTAACTGTTTCCACGGTGAATAATAATCAGATGAAAGTTATTTAGGTTTTGGTTTGATGTATCAGCGATTCGTGGCACGTTTGATGTCGTCGGAGATCATCTTGCGTAATTTACTTAACCGATTAGTAACCGTTACTGCAATTTAAGGGTGAATATATCATTAAGGTTGATTCATGGTTCCCAGTGGTAAAAGGTTTAATATGTTCATAGATTTCGATGACTCGGCTTCTTTTTGATATTTTTTCTATGAAAGCTTTTCATATCAAGTTTTTCAAGCCTCAAGGTAGGTAGAAAATATTTAATACCGCACTTATAATTAAGTGATCGATAAAATCCCAATCGAAGTCCTGCTTTAACTACTGGAATGATCAAAATATGGAATGTTTGACTCACTTGCGTGCCACTCATAAATCCCAATTTGTCATTGTAAAATCTAAAATTTCCTAAGTTTTAAGAGTTTTAAGATTATTGGGGGATGACCCGCTTCCCCATAGTAACGTCCCTGGCGAAAAGAGTGCTGCGTTTAAACACAGTTGACCACAAACAGCATTGTAGAGTGGTACAATTAACTATATTATTATTCATCTCGTAAATTCGCTATATTTTAAACTGGTCGACTGTTTTTGATACCAGTCACTTTAATGCATTGTAAAATGTATGCTCAGAATTTATTTTTCGTATCTGTGTAACACCAGTTTATCATGTTCAGACAAGTGCCTTTTCATTTTAAAATAATGTTCTTTCCAAAATAATTTAATTTAGGCCAGAGCATATAGTTTCAAGATATTTTGTCGTTTTGGCATATGATAACGGTGAAGCATTGCGATGACATTTTTTAACCGAGTAAGATTATTTATTTCCTTTTCACCTACTCTGTGTATATAGGGAGAAAAAAAATACTTACCATTTTTTATTTGTTAATATATTTTTTTCTAATTTTGATATATAAAGTGACGTTTTTTGTAATCGCAGTCAGTATCAAAATAACTGCAACTAGTTGCATAATGTTGAACATTATGAAACTGGTTTCGAAAAATTCATTATGTTACCAGTTACGAAAACAAATAAAATAAAGCCTTTTTTTGGTTTTAAAATCAATATACAGGATGGCGCATTAGAAATAGACCTCAAATATTATTGGTAGGGGAGGTTTTTGTGACAAACCCCGAGACACGTCGAGTTTATTATCGAGGGGGACAACTTTCGATCATTAACTCATGGTTTACGGCTATCCCCGTAAAAGGGTTGCCAACCCCTTCGAGAATCTTTATTGACATGGGGGGGTTGAGTGGCACATCCTTTGAAAGGTATTTCGATTCTATTTACAGACATGCTAATATTTTTGTGTTAAGTGTTAAAATTAATGCCAAAAACCAGTTTAAAATGCCTCCCTACTGTAGACCAAAAGTTAAATCGACCGATTTCTGAAAGTAGGTCATTAAAAAATTTAATTTTCATCCCAACTAAAGATAAATGTCTAACCTATGTAGTCTTACTATTTTAAATTGTTAAATTATTTAATTTCCATGGAGATATTTAACAGTTTTTTTGCTTTAAAGTTATTATTTTAATTGAAAATGAATTATTCACCAATTTAAAATAGTAAGACTACCTAAGTAAGACCTTTATCTTTAATTTGGCTGAAAATTACATTTTTAAATTTAACATCTTCTGATATCCTTGGTCTACACGTCTACATAGGGAGACCCCGTCTTTAAAGAAATCTAAATAAAAAGTTGCAATTAATAACTAGATACTAAAACAGCAAAAAAGATATTTATCAGCATTTAACGAGATAAGATAATAGTTTTTAGTAGAATTTTACGGGTACCTAGTTTTATTTTAGTGAAATTTCTTCATTTGCTATTTGAAAGTAAATGAACCTAATTATCATAGTTTAGACTACTGCAGAGAGAATTGAAATTGTCGCACACTATTTAGGAAACAACGAGTCTGCTCGGGCAGCTGCATCCCGGTAAGAACGTCTAAATTGATGTAGACTGGAAACGTTTCTAACAGAAAATATAAAAGACAACATCCTGTTACTAACGAGGCTACACAGGCCCTGGAATTTATGGGAATTCAAGCTAGCGGACCCCGCCAGGTCTTGAGTGGTGCCGCCACAGAGTGTCCGGTAGCTTGATATAGCTGCTTTAAACTAAATTCTTCCTAATGGTCCTGCCTACCATTTTACACAATTCCAACCGGAAGTACGATCGTACCACCTTGCGGCCGCTAGCTCTGAATTTCATTTTCTGTTACGCATAAAACCGTCAGTACATCAAAACTATGAAATACTATATTTTTCTTTACATATAAAATTTTTAACAATCATTCTTATATAATATGCGATAGATATCTTCCGCCTTTAATAAAGAACAGACCCCAACCATTCAAAACCGTAGTTGGATAAGATATAGTTGGTCCATAAAGTCGAGCAAACGATTTTTACAAAAGCTTAAGGAATAATAGATTTAAACAAACCCTTGTCGCTTTATTATCGGACCACTGGGCACAAAATATTATCACGCTTCAAGAAAAATATGCTTCGCACATTTCAAATATTTCTGCCAATAATGTTTGGGAAAATAATTAGATTAGAAACTGATATCGGAATTATTTTTCACATCAATGATGTTGACATTGATATTTTATTAGGATTATTCTTAGATAATTATTAAAGCTCTTTTTTCAGACAATGCGGAAACATGGGATATTATGCTGACAGATCAAAAGGTCGAGGCCAACTGTATCTCATTACCAGAGACGAAGAACCATTTTGCGGTAAAAATATGATTCAAATTTCGCTTTAAACATTTATCGATTGTTATCAATTACAGCTCATCAGTACCACGTAAAACTGGAAACTAGTCCAAGTCCAATACCTGTCAAAAGTTATGGAAAAATTCAAATAACTTTAGTCGGAGAATCAGCGTTAAATGAAACATTCGTTATGACCAAGTAAGATTGTGTGACATTAGCAACTTTTTCACATTGTTTGATAGACCAATAGTATTTAACAATTCTCATTATAATAATTCCTTACCTGTGGCTCTTCTCTAAGCTTTAGTTCCTAGGGCTCTTATGATTATTAAGTTTAGATATAAAACTCATGTTTTTAGGATAGACGATGAAGAATTAAAACTTGGTGAATCAGTCTCCAAAATTTTAGTACCCCATCCAATTTTAGCACAGCCCATCAAAATAGAGATTCTCTACACAGCCTACAGCGGATGGCTGTCATCTGGATTGACTCAATGGAGCATGGATAAAGTAACTTTGATGGACAGTTTTGGGAAAACGTAAGTAGTTTGGAGTTTTCTATAATTACTCCAATTTTTTCCATACACTCGTACCCCGTTACGTTTTGCTTGTCACTTGACCTCTATGCTACTGCTATTATAGAATGGAATATTATAAAATGTTTGTCATAATTTATACTATTTTTTAGGTCTTCAGTGTGTAAGAAAAACTTAATCCTCCAGTCCGGCAAACCTGTTCTACTACCGCTATATCCAGGCGAATGTAATTTGCCGAAAAACTCCTACGAAGCTGAAGCTCAAGATAGAATGCAAATATCGATCGAGGACAATATAACCTCAAACACAGCTAAAAAATCAAACTTCATTCCAACGCAAGTTGTAAAAGTCGGTTTAGACGATAAAGAATATAAAACGACAGAAAAATCTAAGGTATCCTTTAAAAACGCTATAGATTTCTTCAATATACCTTGGAGAAACGACGAAGAAAACGATGTAATAGACGAGGCAGAATCGAGCAGAGCTTTTAATACCAGAGTAATCAAAAGTGGTAATTCAGACAAATCAAGTCCATTAAAAGAAATAGGCGAACCGATATTGAAACCGCATTCAAACAAAAATGCAAGATCTCATGATCCTGAAAAAGAAAGAGAAGTTGAAATAACTGAACCGTTACTAGGACCTACTTCCGAAAAACCTACACCTAAAACAACCAAAAAAGAAAATACAACAACTAAAAGTAGTATTAAAGAAGAAGGTAAAATGTCGACTAAAGAATCTGATTGGGTGCCCAAGAAAATACCTGTACAGCAGAAAAAGGAGCAAAGAAAACGACAGGACGAATCAAGAATCTTATCAGGATTTGATCAGCCACCAAATCTAGGTGATCCGATAGAAGCTATAGCTACTACAGTTCAATTTCTACCGCAAAGACTTGCCAGAATGTTTGAACAAGCAGAGAGGTATGCTAGAGAAACTATTCTACCGTTAGTCAGTACCTACACTCCACGATTCATAACTGATATTATTGTACCAAAGGAGAGCACTACTCAAAAGTACGTTCCTTTGAAATATGAGGACCCTGCTACTAAGGCTATACATACCTCAACAGTAGCAATAGAAGAGAGGAACTCGATTAATAAGAAATTTGATCCACCACCAAGTGTAGCACCTATAGAAGTTTCTACGAAAGATTACACTACACCATTTACGAATATCCAGAAGATTCGCAAAAAGGGAGATGAAGCTGAGGTATTGCCAGATAAATTACACTTGATTAAAGCCATAAGTAAGGAGCAAGAAGTACTGGAACCAGCTAGCTCTGAGAACAGAAATCATCGAGTTTGGACTGAAAAACCTGCTCTAGTTTCTGAACAAAAGAAGAGGACGGCTAGGGATGATCTCAATGTTAGTAGTGGTACTAGTGGTACCGATAGTCGTTCGCGTGGTACTGATCATGCTTTTGCTTCTACTAATTCACCAGAAGATGCCATTTATATTAATTTACCGGTGTTCGAAAACGATGATAAAAAAATTAAGTACATACCATTAAATCACTGAATCATTAATTTATTTCATGATAAGTCTAATTTTAAGATAAAAATCGAATCCAAAAAACAAGTCTGCACTATGATACGTATTAGGTGTGCAATATAATTTATGCTGAAAATAAATATTTAAATAAAGTTGTTGTTAAAATGAACATATTAATCCATTAAAGCATTAATTAACATCTGTTTTAAATTTGATTAATAAAGATCTGAACAAATAAAAATCTAATGGGGCTAGGTCTGGTGAATTAATCGGTTTTGGAAAGACTTTGCAACCTAAAGAATCAATAAAACAATATTCTATCTAGTACAAAACTGGACTAAATTTGTAGTACCTTACTATCCAATATATTATTTATTGGAAACATAAAACAACGATCTTGTGTAACAGTGTAGGTAGACGTAGATGGTGGCATATTTTTTGAGAAAGGAAAATAATTCCAAATTAAAATGAAACCAAGAAATTAAATAAAGAAAAACAAGATAATATCAAAGGCATTATGTCACAAAGCAACAGCAGATATAGAAAATTATTTTCTTAGCTCTAATTTTGATTATGCTTACTATGGAGACCGTCATTTTTGGATCGGTTTCGTTCTTATTAAGACTCCTCAGTAGGAAATAGATGATATTCTTCATAGGTTCCAAAAAGAACGAAACTTGTCCAAGAATTACATTCTCCTTAGTAAGGAAAATCAAAGTTAGTGTTTAAAATAATTTTATCTTTGGTTTTTTCTGAAGGTATAATTCAATGCTTGTGTGGTGTTAGCTAAAGTAGTAGTTGTTTTTCAGAGGGAAAAGGCCGCTCCTACTATTTTATGAGATACGGCTTTAATAGTTTTGTTCTTCCTTATTTTACTTTTTTAAAAGTTATGTCAGTTTTTGTGTTCATTGATTTAATGTTACGATCAAAAATTAATGTGAACACCTAATATACTTATATTAATTATTTAATTATTTGTTACAGCTATTTCGTAAGCTATAAAGCTTTTGGGAATTTAAATTATTCAAAAAATGTTCATGCTTCTTTTTCACAATTCAAAATTTGAATTTTGCTGAAAAACGGGATGTATTTTTTAAATTTTCTTTGGAAAGAATTTGCAAAATTACAAATAAACATTTCTTGTTATTTCTTTTAATTTATTTTTGAAATTCGTACTAATAGTCTAAGAGCCCGTGTCCGACTTACGGTACTAAATTTTTTCGTTTATTCTTGTACCTGCCGTACATGAGATAGAGACAATTCAGCCAGCGGTTCCTAAAGAGTAAAAATTTGATCCAATTCAACGTCATAGTGATAAGGCTGCCACTGGCATATTTTAAAATCTTTCAATATTGTTATTGGAAAAAAACAATAGAAGACGATGGCTATGGGGGTTCTAAAGTCATAGCAGACACTTTTAAATGTCAAAAAAAAAATAATTTACGGTATTTCGATATCGCTGAAATTTATATATGATGTTAATAATAATATTCTGAACCTATGTTTAGCATGAATGATATTTACCATAAATATATCATCTTGGCAGGCAACCAAATGTTTCTCTTTGGCGCAAGCATTCGTATGTTTAATAATATACCATCACATTCTCTCCAATACTTATTTAATCTGCATTTGATTTAATATACAGACATATTTACTGCTGTAAGAATGATGGGAAAAATGGGCCTATTTTAAGAGCATATAATTGAAAAGTTCATCTTCATTTGTCATTCGTACATTACTATTCTTTTTGTAACGTTTTTTATAAAGACTTTTCTTGATATGTTTTTAAAATGGTACTTAAATATTCCATAGATGTTTAAATTTTAACATCATAAGGTCTGTTTCAATAATAATTACAAACCAGTCACTGATACCAGGATTCTGCGCAGTAGATAATTTGGTGGTCCCAATAATCTATTTCGTCGAATACTCGTCCCAGACAACACACCAAATCCCAAAGATATCCACAGAATATATTTTGTGGATATCCAATATATCCACAGGATATCAGAAATATTCCGTGGATCTAATATGGATATCCAAATGTCCGTCTATATCCAGAATATAGAAGATATTCTATGGATATTCAGCAAAATATCTAATTAGTATCTTCCAGACAATACAAGAATTCCCAGAGATATCCACAGAATATATTTTGTGGATATCCAATATGGATATCCAACCAAATGTCCGTCTATATCCCAGGATATATAATTCAGATATTCAGCAAAATATTTTATAGGTATCTTTAGTAGACATTCATAAGTAACCAAATGATTGTTACGAAAGAAAATAGAGATAAAAAATATTTCCAACAATCTGCCTTTGAGTTTGCCCACTAAGGAAAAAGTCATCCTTATTAGGACTCTTCAGCAATAAATGGAAATTCTCGACTCCAGTCTCTAATAGAGTTAATGCGAAAAATTTTTCGATCAACTCAATTATGGCGGGTTGAGCATGAGTAGATACGAAAGTGGTATCGCCATCTATACTTAGGAAGCAAAATCAAAAATTACATCTAGTAGATATCCACGATGGTTTGCGTCCGCGCTAAGACTTTGATATATGTGGATGTCCATGGGATATTGAATACACCTTCAAAAAATTAATTTTAAATATCTGAACGGTACTATTAGGCACAATGGCGTAATTTTTTAATAATTTGCTATATAATTACTATTATTTATGGGCATTTGCATGTCTATAAATTACATTTTATGGATATAAAATAGATATCCACCATGGACTGACATTCAGTGGATATTGGGATGTTCAGTAGATATCCAAAGGATTTGGTGTGCTGTCTGGGGTGTCTGTGACTGGATTCTGATCGTTATTGGAACATAACTATATTCATTATTTTTCCTCCATATACAGGGTGGTCCATTTAACTTGAGACAGCGTGATATCTTAAAAACGTAAGTTTTTCAAAAAAAAGTTTAAATAAAAGTTGTTAGGCGCTACGGTGGAGATGTGAAGATGACATTTTTTTACATTGACAACTTTTTAAAGGTTTTTTCAAGGTTAACTCTCTTTTTTTAAAAGGAAATATAGATTTTTTATTTCAGAATCTTGTTGTATGTAAAAAAGCAAATAAGTTTTGTTTAAAGAAATTTTTCATAGAATTGCATCTTCAGTAGATAAAAAATAAAAACATTTTTTTTTTAAATTTTATAATAATGAAATGGTTTACTAAAAATGTTTTTCTTCTTACAAAAAATTGAACAACAAAAAAAAAATTTAATGTAACAAATGCTCAAAATGATGACCATCAATTTCAACACATTTATCAATTCTTCTTATGAAGCTTTCATGACACTGAATAAGAGTTTCTCTGTTGACAGCTCTACAAGCATTTCTTATGCGTTCCATCATATTTTCCGGGGTTGTAGGAACTTTTTGATAAACTATTTGTTTAAGATGGCCCGATAAGTAGAAATCAGAAGGCGTTAGATCAGATGATCTAGCAGGCCATGCAAGAGGGCCACCTTTTCCTATCCATCCATTAGTGTACTGCTGATCTAACACTTCACGGGAAATTATGGCATAATAAGCAGGGCAGTCAGTCATCATGTTGAAACCACATACCTGCCCGTACTTGAAGTGGTACATCATCAATTAGATCTGGCAAATGTTGTAGAAATTCCAGATATTTTGGCCCATTCAATGTTCCTTTAATAAAATACGGACCATGTCTCCATTAATTCCGCACCACACACTCACGGACCAAGGGCGCTGATGTTCCACTTCCCTGAACCATCGCGGATTTTCCACACTTCAATAATGCATGTTATGACGATTCACATCTCCATGGTTTGTAAATTTGGATTCGTCGGAAAATAAAACACAAAGGAAAAAATTCCTATTTATGTGTATTTGATTTCGTGCCCAATCACAAAATAGCACTCGATTTTCAAAATCATTACCATGAAGTTCCTGATGTAACGAAATATGATATGGATGAAATTTGTGTCGCTTTAATATTCTTAGAATACTGGTTTTAGGAATTCCAGAATCTTGAGAAAGTTTTAGAGAAGAAACATGCAGATTCATAGCAACAGCTGCTAATACTGCGATTTCATTATTTTCACCAGTAACCGTGACTCGTCGTGTTCTTTTTTTCAGCGGTACTTCCAGTCTCTGTAGACTGTTTTACAACACGGTAAAAAGACGCCCGGGATATAGCATTTCTATTAGGAAAACGGTCTGCATACAAAGCAACGGCATCCACAATACTTCTTCCACATTCACCATAAAGCAATATCATTTCAACTTTTTGGGCCATCGAAAGATATTCCATATTGGTTACACAATTTACAACTTAATAATAACTACAGAATTGTACGTTAATAACGACACAAAGTCTCTTCAGCTACTGCTCCTTTATCTCGATATGATAAAGAAATTCGAAGTAATTTTCAGTAAAAACTGTTTGAAATAAAAAAACTCCAACCGATTACTGAATAATTCAGGTTTATTTCAAAGGTGATAGCAACATTATTTACATTTTTTGTAAGAAGAAATTCATTTGTCGGAAACCATGAATAATTAAAAAAATAGAAAAATAATTATTTTATTTTTTATCTGCTAAGTTGCAATCGTATAAAAAAACTTTGTAAACGAAACTTATTTGCTTTTTTCCAGGGTACCAGATTCTGAAATAAAAAAATCTATAATTCTATTTAAAAAAAGAGTTAACCTTGAAAAACCTTCAAAAAATTCATCATTACATCTCCCCTGTAACGCCCAACAACTTTTATTTAAACTTTTTTTTTTTGAAAAACTTACCGTTTTTGAGATATCGCTCTGTCTGAAGTTAAATGTACCTTGTACTATATACAACTGAAGTTTCATTCACGCAGCAATAATTGCATTACCATTTACGTAAACATTGTTTGTACTTCCTTTATCTGATTTCCTGAAACAAACCTTTATACCATGATACTATAAAAAGAAGGTATCATATCACGGTGACGCATTCTGGTGGAAAGGTGTGGCTTTTACGAATTTGAAGTATCAGCTGATCGAAGACAGCGCCTCAAAATATATTTTAATCCTCTCACCTACAGCTCGTTCTGAAATATGCTTGTCTTGACCTGCAAAACACTACTTTCCAGTCTTGTAACGTAAATTACTATTATATTTACCACGTTAGATGCTTCTATGTCAATTAGGAAATACACTAAAAATATTAGAAAGAATCAGTGTATTTTTCGCCTTATTACCGTAAATGTTTTTAAATAACATTTAAGGGTATCTTTTTTGTGACTGGTTTATAATGTCTTAACATATTTGATGCTGAGTCAGTAAACAAGTAAATTTATAAAAATTGAATATCTTTTGTTTCGACTTTTGCTTATCCTAGTCAACAAAAATAAAGTAAAAATTATTCTATATTAGGACCTACAGATATGGAACTTTAAACGCGGTCTATCTGAGCCAAATCTATTAGAGATTAGCGTATGTGGTGGAAGTCGTACCTATCGTACATCATACTATATAATAGGTAATGCGCTGCTCAGCAGTCTTTGTTTCACGCGTAGTCCTATCAAAATTTGTCCAATTTATTGTTTTCGTATAGATTTGCAGTCATCACCGTTTTTAGATTCACTAGTTTTTGATGATGGATACATGATGGCTTTAGTCATTCTTGACAGGATTGCTTTTGCTGGAGAAAAAATAACACAGCTTTGGTTAACGCAAACGTTTCTGCTAATCGTTTAAATACCTAAGATTTGAGTAGGTACGGTACTGAACTTACTTACCCTATACCGTATTTTGGCACGTATTAGCATATACATGTACGGTAATTCATACAATTGAAGATCTATTTACAAAAACGACACATCTCCAAAATCAGCTTTTTTCAGGAAACATAAAAAACATTATGTCAGTCCTAATAGGCCTTACAAAATGCTCTATAGTTGACAGTTCATATCTGTTTGTGTTACTTTTTTAAAAAATCACCAGTTGTGGCGGTAAATACAACAATTGTCCACTAATTTTTACAGTTAACTGAATTTGGGCATTTTTGGATATATGTTGTTTTTGAAACGTCTTCAATTGGTTACACTGTACAACACCATTAAAGGACTGTTAGAAGTGTCTGTCATGACCTTGGAATCGCCATAGTTATCTGCCATTGTTTTTTTTAATAACAATAAATAAGGTATTTTAAAATAATGTGACAGCCTTTTCACTATGACATTTTTACACCTTTCATATCTGGGCACATACTTTGATTACTATATGGTGCAAGAGAGAGAAGTCCGACACGCCCAACATAGGGCGCGGCCATTTTGATTCCTATGCCACAGTTTATAGCTAAAGAATCAGATCGTTCACTCTGCGTCGGCACTTTTGATCTCAATGTTCCAGTTTATACACTGCGCAACTCGGATAATACAATATATGACAACCGCCTATAATAAAACAGCAGTCTTCTGCGTATCATGAATTTGTATCCCTGAAGTGGATGTTATTTTGGAACTTTCAACTGTGTGACTCCAAAAATAACATTCACTGACACTGACAGCAGCAAGCAAAATATCAGGTGCGTTTTAATCATCCGCTTCTGCTTCCGGAATCGTCGGTTTAGTCGTTTTAACCTGTCAGATTAAAACAAGAAAACCGACAATTCCGAAGCAGAAGCGGATGATTAAAACGCACCTATTAAAAATATTGCGCCAAGATGTAGGCAACACGTAATAAGGGATCAAAATGGCGGAGTTTTCTATCTCCTTTTAAAAGGCACTCAAAAAGCTGCGCAGTGCGACCATTCTCCGTATATTAAAAGAAAATCAAAGTATGTGTATCTGGGTGACTCTATGAAATCCGCAGACTGAACTAACATGTCACAATTTCATGTACGGCAGCTATGAGAGAATAAGAGAAAAAATAGATGATTTTACAAAATATCGTAGGTAAGTATGCCGGCCACTGGCTATAACTTATGGACTAAAGAATTATAGATTCTCTAAATTACCTATCTATATGTATATAATTTTCTTGTTATCGTCTTGTTTTATATTTTTGATACATACAATTTATAATAAACAATTCAAAAGATATAGACTTTAATTCATTTGGAAAATTGAAACAACCATTCTATTCTTTATTTTATATTGACATATTTAAAATAGCTTGTAGGAAGACAAAATATTTTTATTTTCCAGCTTTTGTAAATTATGTAAAAAATGGCACTGGTAGAGTTCGTAGATCATTCTGCTATTATTTGTTTAATGTTCATCATTTTAACAAGTTTCATCCATTTTTAACTAACAGTATCGATACTTTCAACTAATTAAACATTTTCTCATGTAAATAATTTAAAGACTTCGAGAAATCAATGGAAACTTATGGCCAAAATCTTCTTGTTTTCGAGATATAGTGTTAGGTTAGATCTTGACCTATTTATTAATACTAAAATTAGTTTTTTTTAAAACACCTTTATGAAGAATAACGTTGTTGTTGCTTACGCCCAATTATATAATTGCTTTAAAATAGTAAGTCAATAAATTCCTAATAGCAATATAAATAATTCTATTATTTTTCTATCGAAACTGAACATTTTTGGTACTTAGGTACATTGTATAAGGGATTACTTTTAGGGTGCACATAATATCCTGCAGAGTTGGGTCGAATACTGAAATCCGGTATTCGAATACGAATCCTGAATACTGTATTCTAAATTGTATTCGAATAATCAATATTCGAATACAAAGAAAAAAAAAGTATTTGAATACCGCTGTATTCGAATACCTGGATTCATTTACATATGAATACTTTATGAATATTCCAACTACAAATAACATTTGCGCACATAAAGCTTGATTATTATTTATGTAGTTAATTTATAAAAATATAAAAAGAATTAAAAATCTATGTTAAATAAAATTTGAAATATCATTTTTTGATATACAGTATCACAGTGAGGTTAAATAAAACAACTGTTTAATAAAAAACATTTGCTGATTTTTATTTCTTAAAGTTTTATTAAAAAATTATAAATAACGATAAAATAATGAAAAATTTAAAATAAAATTCTTTGGTACACCGTCAGATAAAAACACAAACTTATTGTTTAATAAAAAATAAACAATTCCCATTACCTATAACCTATACCCTACAACCTACTTACTTATACAGAGTGTCCTACGAGATACGCCTCGGACCATAACTCCATAACGGTGCAATTTTCGAAAACTAATTTTAAAAGATGGCTTTTTTGAATATACATAAAAAAGGACACTTACAAAATTTTTGAAAATTGCACCGTTATGGAGTTATGGTCCGAGGCGTATCTCGTGGGACACTCTGTATAATAAATAAAACTTAAAATAGTTTCTTTGGTACATTCATTATAAATTCGAACACAATAAGGTAACACAATAGAATTGCTTAGCAAAAGAAGCTATCCTTGAAAAATAATCTTAAATAATAAATAACTTAAAATAAATTATTTTTGTTTTAAATAAAATATAATATAACATTCATAACGTCGCACTAGTACTTGGATATCAGAAAGAAGACATCAATCAAAAAGCATTTCCTATCCCGTTTGCCTTCAACAAAACCAACATTTCAAAAAGATCGTAATATTCATAGAAATAATCAAACAGTATTCGAAAACAGGATTCGAATACCGGGATTCGAATACCAAGATTCGAATACCGGGATTCGAATACCGGGATTCGAATACAAAGTGTGGTATTCGAATACTAGGATTCAAAAATGGTATTCTAAGTCCAAAATCCCGAGTACTGACTAAAAAAGTATTCAGTCGAATACCGAATACAGAAAACACAAGTGTATTCGAATAGTATTCGAATACCAGCCAAATGTATTCTGAATAAGATTCAGAATACCGGGTATTCGAATACTACCCAACTCTGATATCCTGTCTATTTTAGTACAATTATTTTGAGTCCATCCCTGAATTTTACTCCGGAATGTCACCTTCAAGGTTACTGATTTTCACTTTCTTTCAACGCCAAATGTGTGTATTTTTAAGCAGTGTTTTCATCTTCATTTGCACTAGTGTTCTAACCAAAAACTTTCTTGTACGTACTAATTTTCAGATAACCACACTGACCGTTTAAAATTAATCATGTTTAAAACTTAAATGTAAAATGAATTTTAGGCAGCTCGAAGCACACAGCCCAATCCTCTAGATACGATCATAAATGTAGTTCAAGAAATTCCGGAAAATATAGGAAAAGCCCTGCAACAAGCCGAAAAATTTGCCAAAGATAATGTCTTGCCATTCGTATCTAATCTAACGCCGAGATTCATAATTGATTTTTTTAATCCGAAACAGAAGGAAGTTTCTCAGTTTATTCCGTTTACTAGCGAAGAGTCGACCGCAGCTGAGGTAAATGAGGTAACCGAGGTAACGAGGGAGGCGACGACCTTGAATGAGAAGATAAAAGCGGAGTTTCAGAGTCCTACTATGGTAAAGGCGAATAGAAGTAGAAGAAATAAACAAAATGATTTACTAAACGATGATGAAGATGATGATGAGAATGAGTTAGAAACTACTAGTTATACTAACATTCAAAGAATTCCCAAGAAAAAACACTAATAATTTTAGTATAAAGTTCTTGTTTTATGAAAGGAGTTAATTTTATATTTTCATTAATACTGGGTGCCTCATTATACCTATTTGGATGGTTCTTTTGGGTTATTTATTTATACTAGAAGCTAAGAATATTGATGTATATTATTTAAAGAATACATTTTAAAATGACGTCATATAAAAAATAATAGACCACACTGTATATTTTTTGGGGTATTTTAATAAGTCACGTAGTTATGAATCAATAAAATACTTTGGAAGTTTTTTAAACCGTAATTGTGGCATTGACAATTAAAATGAAGTGATTTTAGTAACAACTTGATCTATGTAAACCTTCTGGAACACTCCGGTTTTTCATCTTTTCCATTTTTATTTACTGAAGTAAAAATTACAAAAACAAATCAATTTTATAATTAGGTCTTTACTTGTACAAAAAACAAACCAAAAACTTGCACGTTAAATTTTAAAAAATTGTACATTGTATAAAAATCGTTTTGTATAAAATTGTAAATATTTAAACTTAGTAGTAAAAACATTCTGTATAATAAAAATATAAATACGTATACGACTTTAATTATCATCTAACACTGTCCGTAATCATTTTTCTACTAACAGCACTTTTATACAGGGTGTCACCACAAGAAAATTTAATATTTTGAAACATTTTTATGAGTGTTGAGAGGTAAGGTCAGATATCTGTCTAGTAAAATTTTTAATGTAGTAATAAGTTTAAATTTGTTATTTCATAATTTTAAAAGCTCTTCGTTTGGCATTTTTGCTGATTCTTTGACTTTTTAAACATCATCGATTCGTGTATAAAAAGGTCCATTTAAATTTTTATTTTATTTTATGATCTATTTTTATAAATTAAATTTATGATTAGAAAGTAGAAACTAATGTCAAAAGATGATTAATTCTTTTTGTATCATAATGACATGTGTCAAAGTCAACGTCATTTATTATTCTAGTCATATTTTAAAAAATGAAAAATGTACAAAGCTTTGTAGTAAGTAACATTTAGTCTAATGTATTTGATGAAAAACAGTTTTTGACACCCTGTTTACAGATATATCTTTCTACGCCTAAAATTATTAAAACACAAATATTAGATGTAAAATGATACGATAGAGTAACTTCCAAAATCCAATTTGCTTTTGAAATAGTATCCAATACTGACATGTTATATTATTAACGTTTCCTAATCTATCTGTCAAATACCTATCCAATGTTTGTATTTTACTAATCTGGGATAGTGGAACAAGAATCTAAAAATCGCTCTAGTTCTTCTAGCCTCTTAATTTCTCGCTGTATATGCCTTAAATGTCCCCATCTAAGTTGCTTTAGTTGCCTTATATAGGTGGGTTCTTCTGCAAAATCAGTATTAAAGTTCATTCAAGAAATATTGTGCCAACTTTGCCTAAAACACTGGTCTTACAACAAACTGTTATTGACTGATTTGTCATTGTATTTCTTAGACTTGGCGCTCTACTTGAAAGGTTACATGATACACCCTGTATAAAAAGATTTTGTTAAAAAAATTGCACAAATATCAATCGACATGTCCGAGAGATTTTCCAAACATGTTCCCATTTATTTATCACGAAATTTATTTCATTTGGCTGCTCCACACTATAAAAGTACAGAGTAAAACATTTCACAAACAGTTCGTAAAAAATAAAAAGTACCTCAAAGAACTACCATATATTTAAGCAAGTTAATTTTCGTAAATCAGTACTCTATAAACAGAGACTTTCTATACAGGGTGGATCCTAAGTTAATATTTTTTTAACTGTATACACGTTAAAATAAACATCGGTATTGTACAGTGAACGCTTTCTTTGTTTTACCTTTTGTTTCAATTAATGTAAGTTTCTTAATTTTAAGTTTTTTTAAAGACTTCTAAACGCAGTTTTATTTAATTTTATACTAAAAAATAGAAATTACCTGAGCTGCAATTACAAACTTTACATTTGGCCGAATTTTGATCGTCATCTAATAACTCCATCGTATCATGATTCGTATAGTTAGAAAGATGGGATTCCGTGACACTGTGTGGCAAATCTCTTTCACCGGCATGACGATTCATGAGCTCGATCGCTCGCTTGGGGTTCATGGATTCAAGCTGGGAAAAAAAAATTTTAAATAGACAATTGTTTAAATATAATAAATACGATTTAATCTCCTCTTTCAATGTAACTAGTTGTGATTGGCCAGTTCTAGACCATGGTCAGAGGGGAGGTGGTGGGCTAGAACCGACTCATCACAACTACTTTTATACTCCCCTTGGATTGCTATACGTTTACTGCAATGATGGTTCCTATTCTTAAAACAATATTGGTCATTATATTTGGTAAGTGCTGTTTTACTTCTAAATATTGTAAATACGTATTATTGTACAGTTTTCAAGCTTCGTAAAATTGCTTTTATATGCACATGTATGTAATATGTGTGTTGATCTTATCGTGACATAAATGTCATTATTTTGTTGAGATAATAGAAAGATGTTTCATTCGATCATGTATTGGGATAGATCACATACTTTGATTACTATACGGTGCAAGAGAGAGGTCTGACATGCCCATCATAGGGTGCGGCCATTTTGATGCCTTTACCACAGTTTATAGCTTAAGAATCAGTTCGCTCACTCTGCGTCGGCACTTTTGATCTCAATTTTCCAGTTTATACACTGCGCAACTCGGATAATACAATATATGACAACCCCCTAAAATAAAACTTCTGCGCATCCTGAATTTGTATCCCTAGAGTGGATGTTATTTTGGAACTTTCAACTAGTCCGAGTGAGCTAACTGATTCTTTAGCAATAAACTGTGACTCCAAAAATAATATTTACTGACACTGACAGCAGCAAGCAAAATATCAGGTGCGTTTTAATCATCCGCTTCTGTTTCCGGATGATTAAAACGAACCTATTAAAAATAATGCGCCAAGATGTAGGCAAGACGTAATAAGGCATCAAAACGGCGGAGTTTTCTATCTCCTTTTAAAAGGCACTTAGAAAGCTGCACAGTGCGACCATTCTCCGTATAGTAAGAGAAAATCAAAGTATGTGAGATAGATACACCTTATTCGCGCAAAGTGTCATGGCGGCGCTGACGTCATGCGTAGAGTTAGTAGAGTTAGCGCGAAGTAAATAGCATATGACAAACGCACGTTGTAGTGGTTTGTAAGTCGTTTATAGTGATTTATAACATTTTATGCGAATATTTGTATTATATTGAGTTGTTAATTTTGTTTTTTGTAAGACGTATTAGTGAAAAACATTCAAATCAAAAGGCGGTACACAAATTACGAATCTAACAGTAACAATTAGAACAAAAGAATTAAAATTGTTTTTTCGTTTTCCTCGACAGTAAGAGGTTTGCCAGAAGTTAGCGTTGGCCTGCGGCCGTGCAGATAAATTTAAAATAGAAAATTGTCATTTGTGTTCCAAGCACTTTTAACCTTCCAATTATAAGAGGGACAAAGCAGAACTTGCCATTTGCATTTGCATTCGCAACTCGGAACTTCTCAACTGAGGACTGTACCCTTTTAAAGGCTAAAAACTCGTTACTCAATAAATTTCTACCTGGGGACTTGTTTAAACGGCAAAGTTAGCAAATGAATAGGCATAGGAGAATTTTTCAACAAATTTTAATGGTCTTAAACTGTGAACTAATACAATTTAATTATAAGATAGTTATTGGTTTATTTAAATAATTTGCAAATTGTTTCAATAAATAAAACTGGTATAACTAATGCATACATGGAAAATGAGAAAATGCGAATGACTATAATGTCATATTTCCATACGAAAGCGTTGAGTATAACAAACTAGCTTAAAGGTTAGCATAATCATTTAAATATATTATCGAAAATACATCCCAATCTTCTGGAACTTATAGAGCCATTAAAAAAAGAATCTTATCACTACGACAGTAAACAGCAAAAGAGAAATTGTAAATGAGGCAAAAAAAGAAAATTGCGGCATGTTGTACTCAAAAGAATCAAAAAACTGTTAGTGACTATGTCCAGAAAAAATGCCGTGATATTTTAATTTAATTTTATATACATACTCATCTTGTACGAGTAGCAGTTATTTAAATTTGGTACATTATTTTTATGCTCTGTATTAAATTATATCGATGAAAAATATTTTTTTCTACAAATGTCAAAAAATGACAAATATGTGAACTGACCCCTTTTTTCATTTTTCTACGTTACCACGACATCGTGCGAAAAGTATTGTGCGAAATACATATTTGTGCACTGCATGTAAACTATATGAGTTTGTTGTATTTTAACCTTTATTGGCCTGAATCAAGCAAAAATCCAAGCAATTAGTTATTTCTGAATATCTATCAATAATTAAAGAAATAATTAAAGAAACTTATTTATTATTTACTATGTTAATATTAATGGTGCAGCCAGCACACGAACCAATATATCTGTAACGTGTGGAGGGTGGTTTACCCTCATAACACTATGTCAATTGCGCATCCTCCTAAGATGATAGGCACCTCCTAGCTCGTGAGCCAGCCTACAGATTTAATGTAGTTGACAAAGTCGCCAAGAGGTGCTTCTCTTATATCGGCCAGTGTTAGCCGATACTTGCCGAACACAAATCTTCTAATACATTAGAGCGTCGAGCAATCGTAAAAGATATACTCGATGGTCTCATCGACCATCTGCAGAGTGCGGATTCTGACATCCCCATGATATCGAGATGCTTCCGTACTTGGCAATGACCAGTCAAAATGCCTGTGACTAGGCGCAGATTATGTCTAGTCATAGTCAGGTATTTGTTTGCTGCAGTGTTGTGGGGATAACTTAAGAGCTCCCTGGCAACTCTGCAGTTTCCTGTTTCATCTCATCTTTCCTTAAATTTCACAAGGGAATGTTCTTTAATTAGGTCTGCTACTTCTGATTTTGTCAGGCTAATAGAAGGGCCAGGTCCAATAAAGTATTTGGTTGGCTGCTTTTTGGCTAGTGAATCAGCAGAACGGTTACCTTTTGATGTGGCGTGACCTTTGATCCATCTTAGAACCAATATTTATTCCTAAACCAGATAATTCAGATTCAGCTCGTGATATTGTAGTTTTGGGGGCTGGAATACTATCAATTTTTGACTTGGAGGCAACTGCCGTAGAGCACTTGATCCTGAAGTTTCACAGTTTAAAATTTTATTTGATATCTGAATTTTATTTATTTTTTTTTAGCAACAGCTTCTAGTTTAAACTTGTTATAACTCTCTAATAACTCTTTTCCTTTAAAATGTTGCATCATATCATCGAGTAAGTGTAGCGTAAATTATGTGTTTTATAACTACAAAAGTTTTAATTCAGTTTATTAACATTTAGCCGAAAATATTATAAAGTAGTTTGATTTTAAGTAAAGTTATGTATTCATTTGCGTCGTGAAGTCTCGAACATTTTTACTCTCCGAAAAGTAATTTTAACATTTGCTACGTTTATTTAGGACTTTTTCCAACTTTGAAACAAAACTTGTCGATTCATTATTCTTATCCATTTTCCGAGAAAGGGATTTAGAAAGAGACCAATAAAAACTAAACTTATGAACCGATCAATTTGCAACCTGCCAGTTTGATGACGTAATGTTGCTAGACTGTGTTTTTAAAAGAAACATCAATCTCTCTTCGACAGATATAAAATTTTAGCTACAGTTGATTCAGTGGATTTTTACACGCGAGTCATACCTATTACACAGGATGTAACTAAAATATGTTTAATAAATTTAACTACAGTTTCTGGAAACGAAAATAAGTCGATTTTATCTAACTTGTTTTTGTAAAAAAGGTATTGGATAATTTTGCAAAGTTAAGAATAGGAACTTCCTATTTTACAAAAAAATATACCTAATAAAAAAACAGTTTCACGATTAATTGAAAAAAGAAAACGTTACAAAATATAAAGAATGAAGCACTTAGGTCCATATTTATAAATAGAACTTAGCTGAGTCGGATTTGGGTAAGTCGGTTTTAAACTAAAATCGAAGTTCGGTTACAAGTTCTAGGTGGTTCCGGTGTTACACTGGAATTTAGAGATGGATATTAGCAAATTTGTAACTGTTAAGTACAGTAGTAAGAAAGAAATTTGTAGATGTGGCAACATCGCATTACATGGAGTAGATACTAGGTATTTTAACATTTCCCCAGACATCGAGCGCTTTTGTAGCCAGAAATTTTCTTTTCTTTTTCTTATTTTCGATGTATTCTGCTTTCAAAACTTATGTACTTAAAACATTTTCGGTAGCCTTTTAATTAATTTTGTTATTACACTCTTTATAATTTTATACTTTTAGATAGATATTTCCCTGTCTAAAAAGTATCCGACCTCTGGCCAGAAAAAATATTTCGAATACCTAACGGAGTTGGGACCCTAATCCCCTTCATTAGGCTCCTTGTGCTTGCACACACTTAGTCCACCGATCCTTCCATTGCTGCAAACACCTCTGGAAGTCTTCTGTTTGAATGGTATTCAGCTCCGTCGTCGCGTTCCGCATTATCTCTTCTCTACTCTCAAAACGGGATCCTTCCAGTGGCGTCTTCAATTTTGGAAACAACCAGAAGTCGCAAGGAGCCAGGTCTGGAGAGTAGGGAGGTTGGCGAACAGTTGTTTGACTAAGAAAGTGTTGGAATGTGCAGGGGCGTTGTCATGAAGCAAGTGCCAGTTGTTCGCTGTCCACAGGTCTGGTCTTTTACGCCAAACTGCGTCACGGAGTTGCCGGAGAACATCTTGATAGTACTCCTTTGTCACTGTTTGTCCTTCCGGTGCGTATTCGTGATGCACAATTCCACGGATATCAAAGAAAACAGTCAGCATCACTTTTATTTTGCTTCGCACTTGACGCGCTTTCTTCGGCCTTGGAGAATCGGGATGCTTCCATTGCGACGACTGTCTTTTTGTGTTTCTGGGTCATACCCGTACACCCATGACTCATCTACAGTTATCACGGTGTTCAGAAACTTAGGATCAATGTTGGCGGTGTCCAGAAGGTCTTGTGCAATGTCAAAACGAAGATCTTTTTGTTCCGGCGACAACAACTTGAGTACGAATTTCGCAGCCACCAGGTACAAGTTCAAATCTTCACGCAAAACTGCATGTGCAGAATCTATACTCACTCCAACCTCTTTTACAATCTCCCGCACTGTCAAACGACGATCTGCCATTATCAAATTTCGCACCCTCTCAACATTAGCTGCACTCCGAGCAGTTTGAGGCCTGCCACAACCACTCCTTAATTTGTGTTACATCCATCGCATCTTCTCCAAACACCTGCTGAATCTTACGAATTGTTCGGCTTTGAGAATCACCAAGCTTTTGATAGAATTTTATGTAGTATCTTTGCTCAATTCGTTCAGTCATCTTGCGAGAAAACTAAATCCGACAAACACTAAGAACAGCACTTTATTTGGCGACCACCAGCCAGCGACTTGCACAAACGAATATGGTGAAAAAAATTCAAGCATGCGCATTAAGTTTCCTCCTTCCACCGCGCACAGTGGCGCCGCCTTAGAATCACTACTTTGCGCGAGAAAAATTAAGGTCGGATACTTTTTAGACAGGCTTCGTATATGTTTGTCTCATAATACGTCATAGATATTAAACAACTTAGCCCAACAATATGTTGAAATTTTACAGGATACGTAACCGCAAGAAATTATAGTATTGCTTTGATTTGATCGTATTTGGCTATAACAACATCTCATTGATAGTTATTCATGGCATATATTAATTTTTATGTTTTTACCTACGTTTCATTGATAGTTATTGATAGTAAATGATTTTAACCTATTTTAGCGTTTTGATTACCTATATATTTTTTTAAATAATAGATTGTTTTCTTTGATTTGATCGTATTTGGCTATATGTTGCATTTCTTGTTCAATTTCTTTTTGGTTTCAAAGGTATTTGCGTGCTTGTTTTGTTGACTTTTTATCTCTTCGCACTCATACTACAGCTCTGCAACTTTCTGTCCAGGCTCAGGTGCACTTATTTCAACTAATGGCTCATTTTTATGCTTCTTAGTGCTGATCTTTTCACCTCTGAATAAAGTTACATATAGATTTACCTGACAGATTAACAAACAATCGCCCTATATTTTAATCAGCAAGTAGTTACTTTTAACATTACTCAAAGGTGAAAAAACTGGGCCTTATTCCAACATTAAATTACCTCATGAACTTTTGGGTCAGTCTGTATTGCTACTATTTTAAAAATATTTTACAATCGTTTCAGTGCCAGGAAGCAAAACTTATAACGACTAATAATACATGTCTTTCTAAAATATTTTCATTTACATAGTTTAATATTTAGTGAGTGTTTGTAACTAAATAATATTAATTTAAAGTACCAGCTTTTGAAATGTTATATCGGTTCCAATAGTTGAGTACTAGCAATTAAATATTATTCTTATCATCATCTCAACACGTGATTCAGTGTTCAAAAACATAAAGGTGTTAAGTGATTTTTATTTGGATACATCAAATAATTACTATGTTTTTCTAGCTCTTTCATTTCTGTTTGGTAACGAGGCTGTTATTCACTCAGTGCCCCCGAATGTCTCTTGATAAAAATTATTCTACAATAGCTAAGACTAAACGCTGCTGAACCTTTAAAGTTGTTAATGACTTTGTGACTCCATGTAATGCGGCGTTGCCACATCTGCAAATTTCCCCAGATCTGGGAAAATTTTGAAAAATTCGGGAGGGCTTTCTTACTACTAAGTACATTTACGGATTTGTTACCATCTCTAAATTCACGCGATATAACCACACTTCCATTTTTGTTCAAGGGCGACTCAGCCAAGTCCTATGGATTATGGTAGGTATTTAATTTAACGCTTTTTTAAAACATAGAAACCTAGAAGACTTTATAATCTTCATTGACTTCTATAATCCAGAATTCTTAACGAAAAATACTCACTTCTTTGTGGCATCTATTATTAGGAACAGTCCCCAATTCTTTACTTAGCGCCCTATCTATCAAATTGACAATATAACTTTTCGATTTATGTAGTTCCAGCGCACAATTATCGTCCAGAGTCGGCTTAGATAAATTTTTGGGTCTCGATGAGGAACCGTTTGACGTCGCATTCATTTGATAAGTTAAATTTTCTATTTGATTAGTTTCTTCCAAAACTTTACCAAAATTGCATTTAGATCTCATATTTTCGTTGATATCTTGGTAATTAAAGCCGCCCAAATTCAAGTTCAAAACCTATAAATAAAGATTTTTAATTTCATTGGTGTTATGTGATTTGAAAACTCTGCTATCAATGAGTAATGGTACATATTTCAGTAAATTGAATAATAAATGGCTTATAAATTACGGATCATTTGAGTGAGGTTGTACCCTGTCAAACCGTCTTCATGTCTATTTTCAATAATATCAAAACTGCTTTGCATTCAAATATGATGTGTCACGCTGTTTCCTCTGCGGGAGTCGCGTAGTCCACAGGATGGGTTATCTATATAGTTTTTCATACTCTAACTTACATAGTTTCCTGTGTATCTAAGTTTAGTTTTAATAGAAATTCAGTTAAGTTTCGAGCTAGTGTTTTAATGTCATCAACTTGTTTTGTTTACCTTTTACCTAAACTACTATATCTACTATGTTTTAATAGTCTCAACACACAGATATCCGCCCATTTAGAATTAAATCTATTAGCCACAAACTTTTAAAAGAAAATTATTACCTAAGGGTCGATTCCACCGTTGTGTTAAACGGAGATTAAAATGACATTATTAATGTAAAAATGTCATTTTAAACTTCGTTTAACAAAACGGTGGAATCGGACCTTAGAGTATAAGTGTATTTTAGTTTGCTTGAGAAAATCGATAAGGAGGTTATTAATAAATTTGCTGTCCTGGCTTAATAAATAAGGGGTAATTAAAGGAGATTTAAATTTAAATTAAATCAATGAATTTGACGTGCTTTGGGATATCTTCCATTAACACAAGTATTTTTTTTAGATTCCATTAATTCATTGACTAATTAATGCAATACTTTACCCATTGCATATATCAACAATATAGACCTACACTTTTCTAAAAAGCAGATTGACACTGTTAAAAATTTGTTGATGTATATCCCTATAAAAAAAGTGTTTAATATTTATATTTTTGTTTGTATGTACAAAAAAACGTGATGCCATTTATATTTATTTAAATTTATATTCATATGATTCTATTTTTGACAGATAATATGGATAATATGTCAAGATTAGAAAAAATTAATAAATATAATTTACATTTACTAAAGAAAGATATAGGTTTGGGTTACATTCCCAATAGTCTGGTTCTAACGGATCGGCCATATTGAGTATACATAAGCCACTCCCAGTGATACCGTTTTGAATATTTGAAAATGATGAACATAGCGTCCCCCTATCTTCTGACTCTATGGTCATTATATTTTTAACCTGTTTCAACTGTTTACTGTTGGTTATTGATATATCAGTGCGACAGATTATTCAGTTTTTAAAGTTAGGAGTAATTTAATTAGAATATAATTCACGTCACGTGATGCTGCTTCTACCAATTGCGTTAACTAAATTTTGTTATAGATGACAATTTCACAGTGTTATAATATCGCGACTACGAAGTAAACTTCAGCCATTTTTTTCAGTATTTATGTCAGTGTTCTAGTGAAAATCTTTAAAGAAACTGGTCCTCCTAAATATTATATTATTATTTGTTGATTATACTCGTATTGTCGCAATAAAAATGAACTGAATAAATAATAATATATTATGCTGAATAAATAATAACATATTATGACCCTAATGCATAATCGAGCCTTTAAAGCATGAGCAACGAGTTTAAGGTAACGACGCGCGGCATAATAATGAAAAGGTCTGTTCCAACAACGATCAGAAACCAGTCATTGATACTAGGATTGTGCGCAGTAAGAATTTGGCGGTCTAAATAATCTACTGCGCAGAATCCTGGTGTCAATGACTGGTTTCGGATCGTTGTCGGAACAGACCTTATGTGATAACTACAATCATTTTAAATGAAAAATTCTAATTAATAAATTCCATGCATTTTATCGAGTGGGTAGGTAAATGTCATTTGACATTTCATTTAATTATTAAACGTCATTGTTATTCGTATTAAAAATGTGGTCGGACATTGAATAATTAGCGGCTGAAGCCGAGTTAAATTTATTACCTATATCTGTAAAATCCAAGTATTTATACTACAAGGAATATGAAAAGTTAGTATTATGGATAGAGTACACTCAAAAAGTCGATAATGTTAGCGTATACGTTTTAAATGTTCAGAATTTACAAATATTCGTCACTTTTGTATATTTATTCATGATTAGGGTTAAAAATTGAATAGATTTTAGCATCTTATCACAAGTTGCATTCGTTTATGAAAGGAGCGAGCAAAGGTTAGGAAGTTAAAAAAATCTAGTTTACCGAAACGTAATTTTTTCAGTCAGGCTCCAGACAATACGTTCTATTTTTTTTTCTGTTCAAGTTACTTGTTTTTAGGTAAGGTTGTAAACAATTTAATCAATTAGACAATTTAAAATAAAATCTGTCATAATCTAATATACCTAGTAACCTTTGTACGCACGGTGTGCGATAAAGACTCGATTATGCATGCTTTTTGGTTTGTTTTGAATGGTTTATGATACATGAATACTACAAAATAAATTACCTCCCCGTCCGTCACATCTGCTTTGTAATCATCCTTTTTAATCTCTTTATCCGTCTTCTCAATTTCTTGTCTATTTCTGTGTACCGGCGATTTTCTGTTAAACTCCTCTTGATCAACGACCAGTTCGCATTTTTTCAATTGATGAAGTAGTTTTTCCAGCGATGGTGCCGCAGCAGCTGCTGAGGCATCTTTTTTAACTTGTTGCTGTTTGTCGGTCGTTTTATTAGCTTTGACAATTATCGGTGTTTTCTTAGATGATTTTAGTTTACATTTGTCTTGCCTCGCTCGAATCGTAGCAGGTACCTTGAAAATTAAAAAACTAAAATATTGTAAAGTGTGATTTTAAGTATCATGTACATACGGAGGGGGGTAATTCTTTGGCTTATTTCATGACTAACATCTCAAATAAACATAGGTCCCCAAATTATGAATAGTTGCAACAAAATTCAACAATATTCAACATCAAAATTCGACAATATTCGACAATATTCGACAATATTCGACAATATTCGACAATATTCGACAATATTCGACAATATTCGACAATATTCGACAATATTCGACAATATTCGACAATATTCGACAATATTCGACAATATTCGACAATATTCGACAATATTCGACAATATTCGACAATATTCGACAATATTCGACAATATTCGACAATATTCGACAATATTCGACAATATTCGACAATATTCGACAATATTCGACAATATTCGACAATATTCGACAATATTCGACAATATTCGACAATATTCGACAATATTCGACAATATTCGACAATATTCGACAATATTCGACAATATTCGACAATATTCGACAATATTCGACAATATTCAACAATATTTAACAATATTTAACAATATTCAACAATATTCAACAATATTCAACAATATTCAACAATATTCAACAATATTCAACAATATTCAACAATATTCAACAATATTCAACAATATTCAACAATATTCAACAATATTCAACAATATTCAACAATATTCAACAATATTCAACAATATTCAACAATATTCAACAATATTCAACAATATTCAACAATATTCAACAATATTCAACAATATTCAACAATATTCAACAATATTCAACAATATTCAACAATATTCAACAATATTCAACAATATTCAACAATATTCAACAATATTCAACAATATTCAACAATATTCAACAATATTCAACAATATTCAACAATATTCAACAATATTCAACAATATTTAACAATATTCAACAATATTCAACAATATTCAACAATATTCAACAATATTCAACAATATTCAACAATATTCAACAATATTCAACAATATTCAACAATATTCAACAATATTCAACAATATTCAACAATATTCAACAATATTCAACAATATTCAACAATATTCAACAATATTCAACAATATTCAACAATATTCAACAATATTCAACAATATTCAACAATATTCAACAATATTCAACAATATTCAACAATATTCAACAATATTCAACAATATTCAACAATATTCAACAATATTCAACAATATTCAACAATATTCAACAATATTCAACAATATTCAACAATATTCAACAATATTCAACAATATTCAACAATATTCAATAATATTCAATAATATTCAACAATATTCAACAATATTCAACAATATTCAACAATATTCAACAATATTCAACAATATTCAACAATATTCAACAATATTCAACAATATTCAACAATATTCAACAATATTCAACAATATTCAACAATATTCAACAATATTCAACAATATTCAACAATATTCAACAATACTCAACAATATTCAACAATATTCAACAATATTCAACAATATTCAACAATATTCAACAATATTCAACAATATTCAACAATATTCAACAATATTCAACAATATTCAACAATATTCAACGATATTCAACAATATTCAACAATATTCAACAATATTCAACAATATTCAACAATATTCAACAATATTCAACAATATTCAACAATATTCAACAATATTCAACAATATTCAACAATATTCAACAATATTCAACAATATTCAACAATATTCAACAATATTCAACAATATTCAACAATATTCAACAATATAGCAACATTGCAAACTCAAGTATCACATGAGTCAACAAAGACAATTCCATGAATTATTTTGTTTTATATTTGAAAAGTGAAAAGTTAGGTCAAACTGGCAAAATAATGCATTTTATTATAATCTATATATAAATAGTCAAAGACATAATAGTTCAGTATCATTTTCTCTTTTATTTGTAAAGAGATTTTCAATTTTTAAGTTTTGCTTAGTAGCTATTGACGAGCTTTAGTGCTATCAATACAAAAATTTGGAAATAGTATTAATAATTTTACTTTAAAAACTTTTAACTTTTTTTAACAAACTGATTATTTTTAGAATAACTTGTATGGTGACTAAATATTACAATATAATTTATAATGCGAACATGGCCCATTAACAAATGAAACATAATTTTCCTTACCAAATTTTACTTAAAATATTATAAAAAATAAGTTATTTCAGTATATTCTAGCACGCCAATTTATCGCAACCGAATATTATAGGATGACACTATCATATTTCGATGGTTAAGAGCAAAAATATTGTATGTCCATTTTTTTCGAAGATGGGATAGGTAGGATTATATATCCTTCATGATGAAATCTTTATGGTCTTTAAATATAGTATGTCCATTTAAATAGGTTTACCATTCAGAAAGTAATAATTATAATTATACAGCTCGTCATAGCCACCTCCAACTTTCAAATCGATTTTACTCAAAACAATATTTTTGGACATACATTTGTGCTCTTAGCCATCGATTTATTATTTGAAGGTTATTTAGGAGGGGACCCGTTAGAAATGATATATAACGGTTATTTCTCACAGCATGAGAAATTAATAACTTTCAAAGCAAGTAATCTATAAAAAAATATAACTCTCTATAGGTGAGTTCGGGCTGCGCACTCCAGAGTGGAGTGTAGTAATTAGGCGTAAACGGAGTGCGAATATGATTTTACTCCTTTAACGCTCGGAGTGCAATGTCAATTGTCAATGTGACATACCAGTACTTAAGATTTAATTGTACTTGTCAGTAACGACCGTATAAGTTTCTTCCATATTAATGATATTCACGGGAACCAAAAAAAAATTTATTTACTAAAGAATCACTCACAATTAACTTATTATCAATTTAAATCACCTTATGCGCATGCCCGATCCACACTCCACTCCACCATCTGCGAACGGTCAAAGAGGAACTTTTATTTTAACTCCTTCCGTACCCGAACGCCTTAGGTACTTTAGGAGTGAATATAGTGAAAAGAGTGCGTAGACCGAACTCACCATATATAGAAAACGTAGACAAAAAGGTATTTTTTAAAAGAACCCAATATTTTGTTAATTATCAATAAAGACACATACTCTCGGTTTCAAAAGTTTGGCGATCTTTGCAATTTCATCTTTGTTTTCGGTTTCGGATGTAGTGATTTTCCTTTCCATTTGATCAAACATTTCTTCAAAATCGGGCATTTTTACATTGACATCACCTTGTCCGCCTACTCTATGAGGCATTTCATAACCACTCGCTGGTTTGAAGGCGGGGCTACTCGGAGAATCCGGACGTATTAGCTAAACAGTAAAGTAAGAGTATAATTAAAAAATAATTACCTAATTTCGCACTTCCGGAATAAGACTAGTATGTCAAAAACACGCAATTCGTACTCTAATAAGGGCTGCCGGAATTGGTTTTGCCGCTAGAACGCGCTACTGAAATGAGAGGTGCACATGCCAATGACCCTTTTATTATATACAATTTTGGGTAGAGTGACGAAAAAACTTCAGCAGGCTCATAATTTTTGTATATATTGACCGTTGTCTTTATAATCATAAAATATAAAGAGTGAATTCTAATAGCCCAAGAGTCCACTGCAAATTTTTACCGTCATCGGATAACGAAATGAAATATACTCCAAAAGCGTGGAAAAACATTGTACTTTACCAAATGGCATCTGTGCCAATCCCAATCCTGAGCAAAGTGGCCTAAAAAAATTATTTTATGTTAAAAAGATCACGTAAGGCATGACAGCGCTAATTCTGTTTGCCCTTAAAGTTTTCCAGAAAATTACATTCAAATATATCTTGATATATATCGTTAAAGGGAAACATTTTCTTCCTCTTAACATCGCACAAAAACATCTATCCACGATTAGTAGGTAAAAATCATTAAAAATATTAATCAATGTTTGCTGATTTAAAAATTTATTTGTATGCCTATTGTTATGATTTATTTTTACAGGTTTCCATAGAAACGACAAAAAAACTATTATGATTATGGTTTAAAATAATTGTCTAACAAGAGTTTATAATTATTATTGACTATCTCTGCAAATGGTTTATACAATGTGATCCTTCTTCCTTTCATACATAAATATGGTTTAAAAGGTAGGTAAAAATATTAATAATTCAGATTTAAAAGCTAGGTTTACAATGAATTAGGATTGTAATTTTCAAGGAAAACACAAAATTGTCGCTGTCATGTCTCATGTGATTTTTTGAATATAAAATAATTTTTTTTAGCCACTTTGATCAGGATAGGGATTGGTACAGGTGCAATTTGGTAAAGTACAATGTTGTTACATGCCTTTGGAGCATATTTCATTTCGTAATCAGATGACGGTCGAAATTTGCAGTAGGCTCTCATACTATAAGTTAATACTTTAAAACTATGTATAAGAAGTCTTTAAAATAAACATCATTTTCATAATGAAGATAAAGAAAAAAAAATTATCCGAGCCTGCAATAAAATTCTGTTTTAAAAATTAAGTTAAGAGCAAACTGGACACTTCGAAAATTTATAATTCATTCTGAACCTTTATTTTTAGTCCGATTTTTGTGAAATTTTCAGGAAATACTAATAATAACAAAACTTAGGGTGGAGAAACCTTGAATTTTTTGTAAACCTTCGCAAAGTATTTATTTAATTTTTTTTAAAAAGAATTTAAAAAAACATTTACGCGCCATTCTGTATTAAATCTATAAAAATTTACTGCTTTCTGTTTTAACAAATATCTAGTAGTTTTTAAATGGAATGCATTCCCACCTTTTTTTCTTAAACGTCTCTGTAGAGTGCTACCTTATCGTTGCATAAATTTAAAGCTCTCAATATTGTCAAGACACATATTATCGCGAAGTATTCCCAATGGAACGCATACAAATACAAGTTTATATTAGAAAATCCTTAAAACATTTTTGCTTTCGCGAGAGGTCCGGTTTCCTCTTAAATGAGAAGTATGTTTCCGTTTTTATTGGTTTTGCCTTTTTTAGGTTTTTATTTATGTAGGTATGAATCATGTGCCAGCTGTTATTACATTTCAATCGTTCGGGTGATTTTAATAGTATCATTTCTATAGATTTACCTCGCGAACGTATCCTATTTTAATTAAAAACATTTATTCACCTTTTTAAAATTTATATATGTAAGTATGGTAAATAAAAAATATCACACAAACACAGCCCCTATAATAATATGTATCCCTGCATACATATAAAAGCATTTTCCAAAAATTAGTTTCTTACTTTTAAAACACTAGAAATACATTCATCCGAAATTTTCACGTATATATCAGGTATATATCTATTATTTAATAATAGTAATAATAACAAAGGTAATGTTTAATAGAGAGTTATTGCAAGTTCACTTAAGGTTAGTCACTATTAGTGCCGCTCTTATTTTGACATCTGAGTATGCGCAGATCACTAACTTTAATAAATATTGTGCCTGTCCTCAATAAGAAAGTTATTGCAAGTTCACTTAAGGTCAGTCACTATTAGTGCCGCTCTTATTTTGACATCTAAGCATGCGCAGATGTTCATGTTCTAAAACTGACTTTATTAAGGATTGTGCCTGTCCTTAATTGTGGATGTTTAAGGGCAGCAGGTAGTGGCGACATTATAGTTTTTGGATACGCTCGCCGACATTCGTATCCGTTAGAAGTTTTTTAATATTAAATATTTAATATAATCGTCATTTAAACCTTCTAAAATTATAATTTCTAATGCCTCTTTAATATTATAGACAACAAAAAAGATGAACAATAATTTAAAGTTTAGTGGCTGGCTTTATAGAAATTTGCAATATCTCTCTATTAAGGACAGGCACAATCTTTATTAAAGGTAGTGATCTGCGCATGCTCAAATGTCAAAATAAGAGCGGCACTAATAGTGACTGACCTTAAGTCAACTTGCAATAACTCTCTATTAACAAAAATTATATAGTTAATTTAAATGTAGTTTGTCATTTGTTTAAAAAATAATTCCTCTTTACAAACCGGCATCTAAAGCTGCGTACAGACCGCGTCAACGAAGGGGCTTTATTTTAGAGGGTGGTCAAACGTCAAAACATAATTCTAAATCGTTATGAATCTTTATTATACACTTATGCCTTTTGAACTTTTTTTCTAAGTTGAAATTCGATTTCCAAATGTCATTTTTCGAATTTTCACACTACTTGGGCACATTAAAATTATTTTAGGAGGTGGTCAAACGTCAAAACATAATTTTAAACCTTTATGAATATTTACTATGTCCTATTGTGCCTTTCTGACCATTGATCTATCTTTCAAAGTTTAAATTCATCCTAGAACTCTTGTTTTTCTATAATTTACCCCCTTTAAATTATTTTAAGGGGTGCAATCAGTTTTAAAAAATATTAATTTCGGGGGACCAGCGCGAACTCGGCCATTAATATATTTTTTAAATATTTAGGTTTCTGAGGGTGATCAAAAAAAGTTAGAGGGTGGTCAAACATGGTCAATAGGTGGTCAAACGCATGCCGCTTCTAAAACTAAAATTTTCGAATTTCGGGAAGACAGCTTCACAGAGCTGTTTTATTATACTGCGCGTAGGAACGAGAGATAATTAACAAGTACACGTATCAATTGCCTTTACAAATAGAGGGTTACGTGCAGAGATATTTCCTGAAATGAATGAGGGCTTTCTCAACGTAATCGAAATGAAAGGCGCTAGAACAGTTATAATGTAATTTTGAAAGACACTTGTGTGTTTTAGAACCTTTTATCAAGAAAATTCCGAAATATAACCATAAACAATCCTTTTACAATACTCTCCCATAACAATTTGGGAACTATATTGTATAACAAAGTAAATGCTTGCAATTTGTCTTTTGTAAACAAAATTAGTGGTTATTCGTCGTTGGGTCTACCTCTTTTAAGCATCTCATCTTAAATGGCTCATTTCGTATTCTAAATTCGCCACTACAATCAAGCAGAGGTATAGGCGGACTGTGTACGAGTGAAGATGAATAATTTAATTTACCTCCGGTTCGTGTGTCCCCTCGTCGCAGTTGTCAGTGAAAATGGGTACTTTCTTGGGGCGCCGGATTACCGCAGGGTCCGGTTGAGTTGTGCCAGGCAGACAAAGGGCGGAAGGACGCTTGTAAACGGTATTCGGCGTCGGCTTTTTGTAATATCTGAAAATAAAATTTACCTTAGGAATTTTCAGAGGGATATCGTACCGATCTTCTTTCGAAACGAAGGCGACAAGAATTGGAAAACTTATTTCAATATTAAATATTAAATAATTAACATAAAAAAAACAACGAAAGTAACATAAGTTAACTAAAAAGCAAGAACTTAATGATTTTTAGATTAAACAATTTAATTTTGTTTTTTATTTAATGTAATTAAGAAATTGTTTTATAATTTTGAAGTCGGTGCCAAGTAAACTATAAAATTATAATTTTTAAAGTATTTGTTTTATAGATACAGACAGTATAGTGCAAAGTTTTTTAATGGGAAAACGATGAAAAATTGAGAAAATAAATAGGGATACTAAGGGTGAAAAATTATGAAATAACATTTCGAAACCGGTTGTTAATTAAAAATTATTTTGTGAAACAACGTTTTTTTTTTCCGCTAATAACCCTTAAAGTTGATATGGTAAATAATAGTATGCTTCTAACGAGCTTTTAAATCTCGTTTTAAATATTTACAAAACATAATATGACATAACCACAGTTTAAAGATCCTTATTTGAAAGGAATGCGTGTAGAGCAATGGTTTTTGTGGTTGTATAAATAGAAATTAATGATGAGTAAAACGTTATCTTTATATCTTCAGCGTAGGCCTTTAAAGAATTGTGTATAAATATAATTTTTTCTTTTATTATTCAGATGCTGCCGTATTCTACAAAATGTCTTTTTGCAAAAAACATACGGAATTACTTATCTTGTGTGGATCATCTATAATTTTAATATACAGTGTATCCCAAAAAGTGTTACAAATAGAAAAAAGTATCTTACATTTTAAGAAAAAAATTATTCTTGATAAAAAGTTCTGCATCACTTAGAAATACGTAATCATGCAGGTAATTTGAAAAAAAATTTAAAAAATTTAAATACACATCATTGGTTTTAGGTTATTTATTTAAATGAAAATCATTTAAAAATTACTGCAATGTTTTGAACTTAAGCATATTTTACTCTTCGTTTTATTTTTCCGGTGTTTGATTATGGATTCCCAAGTGATGCAGAAATTTTTAAAAACCTTTCTCCATTTGTATAAAACTTTTTTATATAAATGTTAATGTATATGCAAAAATAAAACTGATATCCGATAACCGGGGGTTGATAATTAATTTAAATAATTCTTATATATCAAATTATATATTGAAATTTTATTTCCGAATGCAAACAACATCCCGGTGTCTCACGACTTTTAGGCGCCACTTAATTACTTCTGGGAACAGAACTGAACGCGTACGGGTCGCTAGAAAAAAAACCAGATGTAAAACGTAAGGGTTATATTCTGGGATAAATACAAAGCTTTAAGCTCTTTATGCACCGAATTCACAGTCGTTCTCTTTCCGATGCATTTGCATATATGGGAAATTTAGGTATAAATACCACGGTTTTTGTGGGCTGGGGGATTAGCTTTTTCATCTTCACCGAGTTAAGTTAAGAAAAAACGCAAATATTCACGTTACCGCTACGGTGACTCCTTTTTCTTTATATTCTTCAAATATAATTAAAAAGAGATACCGCTACCTTTAGGGTGGCCGCGCTTTTGTTATATTTTAAGAACGGAAATAAAAGATATCGACGGAGTAGAGAAATTAGTTTCTTTAAACGACGCCTTCTGCATATATATCCAGTTGTCCTTAGGATGGCCACTTTTTCCTTATATTTTATATATTATAAGTAAAAGGAGATAATATATAGTCAGGTTGACCAAGCAGATACACGTTGAATAGAACCAGATTTCGCTCCTAGAACTGTTTTGTAAGGTTGTATTTACCGAGCGACTAAAATATTGGCGTAACTGATACTGGTGAGACCACGCTAGTATAGTTAATAGCCAGATATTTTATATCTCCGATTCAACATTATAAAATGTTACTAAATGATTAAAAGTACTATTCTAGGCGACTTTCGTAGTGGATTTCGTCACCCCTAAGGTTGACCCGACGAACGCGCGCCGGATAGTCGCTTTTGTCAGCGATATCCTTTTGTTTCTGTATGGTTCCTTGTACATATTATATAGCGATAATCGCTCTGTTAAAGTAATCAAAATAGTATTTAATATTCGTATACTCCGGGGGAGAGTTTAGGCTACATGGATGGGTTACAGGTATCATTTTATTACTAACCTTATTCATTAGCAGAAAAAATTCGCGTCTACGTGTTATTTTTATATTTTTGGTATTCATTGATAAACGTTTTTGTGGGAAAATTTATATTGTTTTTATATTGTGTCAAATTATACTATTTAGAGAATCGATAGTGACCGTCTAAAGTACTTTTAAGACAGTCAGATCAGTTCTCCGTTCAGTCTCAATTTCAGTACAGTTGTCAGTTCAGTTTGGAAATTACATCCCTTTAAGTGACAACTGATACGATAACTTGGTATACCCATCGAGCCACAGCTCCGTATCAGTTTCAGTTTTTGTTACAGTTTTTTGTGTTTACACATACAGATTACTGACAGTTTGACTGAAACTACTGAACGCAGAACTGATCTGACCGTCTAAAAGTACTATAAAACCGAACCTATATAATGAAACTATGAATTTTTCCCCACCTCCAATGTTAAGTTAGGTACGATTCTAAGGCGATATTTACTTACCTCTTCGAGCATATAAGACTAGAGATATCATTCAATGTATTTTGTTATGTATAAGCTGGGTCATCACTTTAGACGTGAAGGGAGAGGGGTAGGTACTCCATTCTCAATGACGTATGGTTTAAAAGGGTTCATATTTAAGTTTACCATTTATGCAGTGTAATGTCAGTATAACTAATAATTCAGGCATGATTAAGTGTATATCTTTTCACCTCTGAGTAAAGTTACAAGTATGTTTACTTGACAGATTAGCAAACAGCAGCCTATCGTTTAATCAGCAAGTAGTTACTCAAGTTTACTCAAAGGTGAAAAGACTGGAACCAAGAGAAATAAATTTATGTTAAGCTTTCGTTATACACTTTATTATATACATGTTTTACTGGTAATCAATATGTTCGTTTAGGATTGAAAACTTTTTTTTATTGTAGACATAGATTTTGAAACTGTATGCTTTCAAATGGATTCGTGGCCACGCATTATTTTCGTTTAGTTTAAGTAGATCATTTAAAAACTGAAATCTTTTTAATAGACCATATAAAAGACAAGTAAAGGCAAGTAATAACAAATAACAATAATTAATTTATAATAGTAATAATAATAAATGTACATATTTTATAATAAAATTATAATCAATGTAATCAAAACATAGTTATTGGTTGTATCTAGATGTAATATATGTGTGTAGAAGTAAGCTATTTATAAAACAAAACAAAAAAACGAAATAAACATTAATGCTACCAAATCCCCATGAAATTTATTTATTATTTATTTAGTACACCACCCAACAGTTAAAAACTAATTACATATAGAATAGAATGAATACAGAAAAAAATACATTTTATTCGTGAGATACATCATACACATTTTCAGGAAAAACATTCGACTGCCTGTATTAGAGCATAAAACATTTGAAATTATTACACAAAAACTTACATACTACTAATATATGTACAATAGATACTATATACACATACAAGAGATAATATAAAATACAGTAGGTAGGTACCCTACTATTTGTAATAGACGTATTTATTAACTTTACAAGCAAAGCACAATAGCTTCTTTTGCTTCAACTGACTGATTTTATTGAAACTTGCTAGAATCTTCTTTTGGGCAATAGCTAATTTTCTATCAAAAAATACCTTTGAAAGTTTTTCTTAGGCATTGCTTTCCTGAAATCATAATAATGCTTGATTATATGAGAAAATATCTTATTTGACTCCAACAAACCTTTTTTTCTTTTGTAAGTTCTCTTTCTCCTTCAGAAGCAGTAAGTGTAGATGAATGGGAGCTTAAAGACATTGTGGTTAGTTTATCAAATTTTGAACAATTTTTTGTCAATTAAAGAAAGTTAAAGATTGAAGTTCCCTGTCTTGCATATTTTCGTTCCTAGAAATGAAATGTACATAAAATTAATTTTGCCCATTTATTAATGATACACATTTTATTAAATTTTAAAAGTTTCAAAGGCTACTACCAGCATCTGTTTGATTTTTAAAAATGTAAGAGCTGATCATACCTTTTCGTTAGCATTCTATCTTTCTTTTCCAACTTCGAAATTCCCAATGTTTTTAAGCCTGTAAACAATAATGTAGTAATAATACATGTTTACTATTTAACAAAATAAGGAAATAGATATATAAATATCTAATTATATTACTTCTAGTGTTTATATGGAAAGCAAGGTACAGGTACAGCTTTTGGTATAACTCTTTTTATTAATCTATTGCTACTTTATAATAATGTTCAGTTAAAAAATGGTCTGAACATTGACATGTGTTGTTAGACATGCTATTAATGCTCAAACTGAGCACTTGACACTAAGCCAGTTTTGTTGTGAGATCAGTAGAAAATCTGAAATAAGTAAAAAAAAAGATTTAAAAAATTAATGGCAAATAAATATTTACAATACAAAAAGGTATCTAACATTCTACAATACACAAAAAGACTAATAAATTAAGCATTATATTTCGAAGGAAACAATTATTGCGATGATGCTCAAATGAAGAACTTTCCTACAAACATGTTTTCTTATTAATTTGTCAATTTCCCATTTTAAGTTACGTTTATGGAATATAGAATACTTACTTGTGAAACGTCAACCGGAATTTTTTATTGCAAACTATACAAGCTCTCGGCATAATTAGCATTTATTTTAAAATAAAAACACACTTTAGAAGTTTATAAAAGAGACTCCTCGTCCAAATTGTCTTCGGTAGCCATAAAAACCGATATTTTTAAAAACGAAAACAAGACGTCTAATGAAATGTCATTTATTACAAATACGCGCGTTATTTAAATTCGCCAATTATAAAACGTCGTGTACCTAACTCGCCAATCATAAAGCGTC